ATGTATCTGATCATTTTGATGGAAAGAATGTCAATTTCACATGGTTCAACCTAAGGAATAAAACACCCAGTCTGGAGCCAGCCCGCCGTGGGTGCTTGCCCTGGCAGCTCTGGGGCGAGTCTCTCTCCCATTGGCCTTTGCTCATCTCCCAGGTTGGGGGCGGGGCTGGGAGGTCAGGGCGGTCTGGGATGAGGGGGGTGGTGAACATAGCCACAACACGGAGAGTCCTGAGGAGGGAAAGGAGGAAGGTCCTTGCCCAGAGGACAAGCATAGAGCCTGGAAACTCTTTCTGTCTCCAGCTGGCAAGCACCTGCGCCTGTCCCCTCCATCTCCACAAGCTCAGGGTGGCCCACCCTCCTCCCCGAGTGCTGGAGAGTTCTCTGTGCCGGCAGGGGGGCTGCGGGCGGTTCACCCACAGAGGCCTCCTGACCCGGGGCTGCTGGGGTTTCCAGAGACAACGGTGGCGGTGGCGACAAAAAGGTCCAAGGTTCTTTCCCTCCGTTTTCTTGATGTGAGGGGTTGCAGCTGAGACGTGGCCTCCACCTGCCAGAGGGATCAAGGCGAGGACGGGGGCAGACAAGGCCCTCTCCCCTCCCAGGCAGGAACCTGGGGCCTGGAGGGGGAACCGAGGATCCGGAGGCTGCTGTTGTCACTACCGGTTCCTGGAGTCCCTTCTGCATCCCTTCTGCACCCTGACAACCAACCATCCACACGCCCCCCAAAACTGGGGAGGCACAGAACATGGGGACAGCAGAGGACGGGGGACCCCGGCTGTGCCGCCTAAGGCTGGGTGGCCTCATTCCAAGGAAAGCGCTAGTACCTACCAGCGCCCCCGCCCCCCCGCCCCGGGGCAATGTCGCCTCTGCCCCCTGACCCACACTCCAGGGGAGAGGGAGAGGACGTGCAGACTGGATGTGGGCAAGAATGAGGGGGGCAGCAGCCCAGGCCCACCCCTTGTGTAGACAGGGAGCTGAGAGGGGCGGGGCGGCCCCCGGGGCTGCTTGGGGCAGATTGAGGTTGAGAACTGGAAGCAGGGCAGTCAGCCCTGAAGCAGGAAGAGGGGCCGGGGCTGATCGCTGCTGTCCTCGCGGGTTCAGCGAGTCGTGTGCCAGCTCTGCCCTAGATGCTGGGGGCTCACAGGGAGGCGACGGAGAGCCCTGCTCCCCTGCAGCAGACAGAGGACGCACGACCGAGCTCCTGTTGCCCAGGGCTCGCGCCAGCGTCCTGGGAACCCTCCACGGGTCGCAACGTAGACTTAAGACGCTTTGACTTTCCCGGGCAGCGCCCCTGCTGTGCTGTGCGCGGCTTCTTTCCCGCTGGGAGGGGCGCTTCCTTCCCGGCGGCGCGGCCAGGCCCGAGCCCTCCCAACGCTAGGTTAGAACCTTCTCCGCACCGTGGCCCATTGAAACTCCAGTCTCTTGCTTTGCTGCAAAGCCCTTCTCCCCTGGGCCCAGGGGGAGCTTAAGAAGCTGCAGTTGGGGTGCAGAACGTGGGGGGAGGGTCTCCCCTAACCCTGCGTTGTGTGGTAGGGAGAAAGGAAGGGGCACCTGCCCCGGGCTAGCCTGGGTCGGGGGTCCCAGAACCTCAGCCACGGCCCTGTCACTGCTCCAGCTGTGACCAGAAGCAATGCCTGGGGGCCAACGTGCCCCCCAGGAAAGGCTCCCTTGGGGGGCTGCCAGGGCACCGCGCCCCACACTCAGCAAGGCCCTGCCCTTGGTTTAATATTCTGTTGCCACTGTCTTGAAATTCTGAACTGTCAAACAAGGGCCCTGCGTTTTCATTTGCACTGGGAACCCCGGAAATATGGGGCCGACCCTGCCTGCCAGACCGGTGTACTACAGCGAAGTCCAACCGTCACCACCCTGTCGCCGCGCCCGGGACCACCCACCGCTGCAGCACTACAGCAACGGCCCTTGTCCGCTGGGGGCGCAGCGCTCTCCGGAGGCCCCAAGCTGTCCTCCCACCCACACCTTCAGGCCTGGGGGCCGCCCTCTGTAAAGCCTTAGGGACTAGGATCCCCCCTCAGCAGCCCTGTGTACTGTCCCTGCGGGTCAGGGTGGCCTCCAACTGAGCACGGGCAACGCAGCCCTCCTTCCAGCCCGGCTGCAGAGGGGAGCGCGCTCTCCACCGGCCCCGCCCCCTGGAGCAGGGGCTGCAGGGGCGGGGCTCGGGTGGCCAGCCTGGCAGCAGGGGAGGGGGTCTGGGGGGCTCTGGCGCCCGCCCTGCAGCGGGGGAGTGGGTCTGGGGAGGAGCTGCCCGATCAACTACACCGTGGGACACGGAGCCCTTAAACAGGCAGTATCCCCGCGGGAAGGCCTGCAAGGAGAAACGTAGCTCTGCAGAAAACGCAAGAGGGTCGGGGACGTGACAGGGCGAGAGGGACGGCTGGGACCGTGGGGGGAAGGCCTCTCCATCACTGCTCCTTCGGGCAGGGCAGTTAGGGCATGAGGGCACCAGTCACTAACGAGAAACGAAAGAGTGTCACGAAACCTGGACTTAGACGTGGTCTCCAGAGGTGACCCGTGGGCGCGGATGAGGTTGACTGGACTTGGAGAGGGATGTCATCCAGCCATAGCGACAGGAAGAGGCAGACGAACCAGAGAAGGGGGGGCCTGGGTTTGAGCTGAACTGCAATCCGTGCTGTGAGGTCCCTAATTTTTTTCCTTTGGCCTCGGTGGGGCGTTTACCTGAGACGAGTTGGGGCAGAAGGAACAATCAAGAGACAGCAGCTCCAGGACTCCTTGCTCCACTCAGCCCCGGCCCTGAAGTCCAGTGGGAGCAGAAGGGTGGGGGAGGGGGAGAGTGTGCAGCGGCCTGGCCCGCCTGGCTTTGGCAGGATCCAGGCCCGTGAAGGATTTTGGTGCTGAATGGGCAGAAAGCACCCTGGGCCAGGGGGTAATCCTGTGGAGTTTGCTCCAGGCCTTAGTCCCTTCAGCCCCAACACAAGAACCTGTGGGGAGAGCTGGGAGCCCAGGTCGAAGCTGAGGACCTCTCCGCCCAGAGGCTACAAGACATTCCCTCCACCTTCTCTGCTTTCTGGGTCCCTTACCTTGGTGGCTCTCTGGGGAAACCACAGATAATTGTCCTTTGGACACTTTCTTAAACCTCTGTTGATGCTTCAAACATAGGCATGTTGAACTAACATCCACTCTGGCAAGAATTTGGAGATTATAGATAAAAAGATATACTCTATCTATCCAGGATAGATATCCCGATGAATACAGTAATTTCCGACTTCATAACATTCACTCGTAGTAGTCCGTACCCAGGTGGTGTTTCCACAGCGTTCCTGAATCACAGGAACGAAGTGCCCTGTCCCCTGGGGAGGTGTCCGCCACGGTTCCACCTGGGGCGGGTGTGTGTAACGGTGTGCCCATAACACTTGAACCCTGGCTCTCCAGGGGAAAGAGCACTGGTCGGTGGTGTTTGCTGATTTCCACGGTGTAAATTCATGTCTGATTTCAAGCGACCGATGCGACGTCACTGAACACCGACTTGGGAAGGGGTGCCAACAGTTGTCTCCCAGGAGACAGCAGGAGCCGCTTTCAGTGTGCCGTGGGGTGGGGGGCACCCTCCAGTGGAGTCCTGATGAGCGGGCGTCTCTTTGTGCTCAGTGCCCAGAAAGATGGGGGATGAAAACAATGGGTATCTCGGTGACCGAGGGGGAGAGAATCTCGAGGAGAGGCCGGGCCCCGTCTCCGCTGCCGGGTGGCGTGGAAGGCAGAGGCCAGAGAAGCTTCTGGATTTGGCTGTCCCATCTTGGCCCCTCAGCCATGACCTCTGCAGGTCTGGGGCTCTGACCTACAAAGTGCGGCAGGTTCTCATTAGAGGCGTGTTCCCTGTGCAGAAGGAACAAGGGCCAGAGAGGAAAGGACAGTGTGTTACTGAGGAGATGATGCGACAGAATCCACCCTGGGAAAGGACGAGCCTGCCAAAGCCGCCCTGGAGTCACCAGCATGAACTGGGTGACAGGATTCTTGTTTTGGTTCCAGGACATGTTGTGGGGCAGAAGGGCAGCTCATCTCTGTCCCCAGGTGGGTCCCAGGAGAGCTGTCCATTTGGGGCCCTTCCCGTGGGACTCCAGAAGGCTCCCTCTGCCAGATCAGGGTCAGAGCAACGAGAACAGTGCTGAAGGGGCAGAGAGGGCCCTGCGCAGGGCCCGGGGCCGGGAGAGTGTCAGAAGCGCTGGGGCCTGCCCTCCCCAAACGGGGCCACTGGTGAGCCTTTCCTCTCCCACCTTCCTCTCTGGGTGGCTCCATTGTCCGCCTGCCTCTGCCTCTTCCCGCCCCACTACCCCCAGAATGGCAATTATGGCACTAATTGGGCGCTTTGATCATCTTTAGAAATGGCCACACTGGGAGGGACGCTGCCAAGCAATTAGGGGCAGAGGAGCTTGGAGCTTGGGCACCCACGCAGGGGCTGGGGCTGCGAGGACCCTCAGACACTCCCTGCCCTCCTCCCTCCGAGTGTCTGCCCCCAGCATAGCCGGGGACTCCTCAGGGAGTCAAGGCAAATGGAACCCCCCCACCCCATCTGAGCCCTGGAGATGGGGCCAGCCCTGCCCATCAGCCCCCCTCCGCCTGGCCCCCAGCCCAACCATTAGCTCTTCTGGGCTGCCCAGGCCCCTTTGATGGAGCCACAGAAACAAGGGCTCCTTTGAGAGAGGGGGGGCCTCAGAGCCGGATGATGAGACTTCAAAGGTGAGGGTCGAGCCCACTACCCTGTGCCCTCCCTCAACGCCGGCCCCTCCTGATGCCCCGCCAGCCTGTTCCCTATATAGCCCCCCATGCCCCATTCCCCCGTGGGCTCCAGGAGTTAAGGGCCAGGTGAGAAGCAGCCAAGGGAAGCGGTAACTTTGATTAAGAGAAGAGGGTCAGATGGTTTGAGGGACAAGAACTCAATGCCCAGGGACAGAAAGGCAGGCTCCACAGGATAAGCGCCTGGAGGGCGGGCCCCCAGGGGGAAATAGGGCAGGGTCGCTGCCCCGGCTTCTGGTCACCATGCTGCTGGCTGTGCTGCTGCTGCTGTCCCTCCCAGACCCGCCGTCTGCCCACGGGTACCCGCTGTCCCTGCGCCTGCCCCCCAGCACCCTGCAAGGTGAGCCTGGCCGGTCTGAGGGAGTGGCCGAGGAGGGAGGAGCAGAGAGGAAGTGGGCCCCCAGCCAGGGACAGGAGCTTGCCACCTGCATTCACAAGGACCTTTGGCTTCTTCCGCCCCCCGCTGCCGGGAGAAGGGGCCAGGAACACAGGTTAGGAGAGGGAGGGGGAGGTGAGGATGGAAAGAGACGGGGAGCCCGCCAGGCTGTGCATTAGGGCCCAGAGCATCCCCTTGGCTCTCTGGGCCCAAGGGTGGGCCGTCCAACCACAGTCATTCTGTGTCAGTAAGTCTGAGTTCTGTGGCATCTGTACCTTCAGGGTGCTGTTTTTCCTTCAAAGTTTTTAAAGAAAAAACCCTTGTCAAAATTCTAGCCCAGCTCGGTTGAGCTACAGAGGTATCTTGGGCTGGAAATCCAGAACCATCAGCTGTGAGCACTGGGACATGGGGTCCTGGGCCTCTGTCTCCCCGCCACCCCATGCCACACGATTGCTCCTGGAGGCCAGCCGGTTTCCCTGTGGGTCTCCCAAGGCAGGGCTCAAGGCTGGGGCACGGAAGGCAAGCCTCTGACTCTTCCCCCCAATGCGTGGCTGTTCCCCATGTCCCAGCAGCTCTGTCGGCCCAGGGGACAAAGGCATTGCAGGCTGCCCAGAGGAGCGCCCGGCGCGCTGTAAACCTAGTGGCGATGGAGATCCAGCATAGGCTGCGTGAGTGCCGAGGCTGCGCCAACCACACGGCCCCCTGCACGGGTGAGCTTGCCCAACAGCTCCACGCCAGTTTTCCGATCCCCTGGTTCAGAGTTGACTCCCTCTTGGAGCCAGAGACTGGACGGGGCTGCAACCAGCACAGTGCTCTTGAAGGTCCCTCCAAGTGGGAAGGGCATGCATGCCAGGCTCGGGGCACAGCTTGTGCAAGGGCAGGAGGGTGGGAACATTCCGGGCTCAGCTGGTGAACACTGAGAAGTCCATGGCTGCTGCAACAGCGCTGACTGCTAGGAGTGGGGCTAGAGGAGGGGAGCCCAGGGGAGAGAGAAGGCTGGGCTCAGCTTGGGGTGGAGGAAGGGGGGGAGGGTGGCAGTGAAGCTCAAAAGGTCTGTTTCTCAGCAGGACCTGGGCGCACCAGGCCTCAAGCGCCCCTGCTCCAGGATCCACCTGAGCCAGGTGAGGCTTAAAAACAGTTTCAAGGGAGCAGGGCAGAGAGCAGGGGGGACGCTGGAGGGGGCTGGACGGTGAGAACGGCCAGGACTTGTCTCTCATGACAGCGCTTCCACCTTTCTAGGACAGTGTGGCCAGAGGCGTGGGGACACGGTCAATGTGACGCAGCCCCAGGGCCGCATTGTGGGGGGCAGCGCTGCACCTCCTGGAGCCTGGCCCTGGCTGGTGAGGCTGTACCTCAACCGGCAGCCTCTGTGCGGTGGCGTTCTGGTGGCGGCGTCCTGGGTGCTCACAGCGGCGCACTGCTTCGCGAGCTGCGTCCGGCCCCGAGACTCCTGACCAGTCCGGGCCCCCAGCGCGGGATCCGACTCCTCTGGATCGTTGGGTGGGCAACACGCGCGAGGGCCGGTCTCTGCTGCCCCCTGGCGGCGGCAGCCCGGCTCCCCGGCTCTCGGGCCTCCAGGCGCCCGCGGCTCTCAGCCAGCGCGCGGATCCCGCCTACCTGCTGCAGCGGCGTCTCCCAGGCGCGCCTTCCCTGCCCCCAGGCGGGGAAACGGCCCGGCGGGCGGTATCCCTGGACGGTGCCCTTGGGCGGACAGCAGGGTCTCCCGGGAACCTCCCTGCACCCTTGTCCGAGTTACCTCCTAGCCTCCGCCCCGCAGCGCCCCGGACGAGCTTCTGCGGACAGTGACGCTGGCCGAGGGGCCCCGGGGGAGCACTGGGAAGAAGTGCGAGTGAACCGCATCTTGCCCCACCCTAAGGTGACAGGGCAGCCCCTCGGGCCTCAGAGCTGGCACCCTCGTGTTCACCCCACGCCTCGCTGACACTGCGTTGCCACTCCCGTCCTAGTTTGACCCGCGGACCTTCCACAACGACCTTGCCCTGGTACAACTGTGGACGCCGGCGAGCCCGGCAGGGGCGGCGCGCCCCGTGTGTCTGGCCCAAGGACCCCGGGAGCCCCCCGCCGGCACCGCCTGCGCCATTGCAGGCTGGGGGGCTCTCTTCGAAGGTACCGGCAGGGCCGGGCCTGGGCAAGGCGCGCACGCGCCCAGGAAGAATGGGGGCCGGGGTGGTGGAGCTGGGGGAGGCCGGCGCAGAAGGAACCGGACCTAAGTTCAGCTGTCTTTCGCAAAACGTTGCCGGACCTCGCAAAAGAGAGGGAGTCAGGGGACGCAGTAGAAAAAGGGACCCTCAAAGCTGAGCCCTGCCCCCCAGGCCTGAGCCCCCTCCAACCGTTTCCCTGCAGACGGGCCTGAGGCTGAGGCGGTAAGGGAGGCCCCCGTGCCCTTGCTCAGCGCCGACACCTGCCGGAGGGCCCTGGGGCCCGGGCTGCACCCCAGCACCAAGCTGTGTGCCGGGTATCTGGCCAGGGGCATCGACTCGTGCCAGGTATGAGGACACTGGGTGGGCCGCTGTCCAGGCGCGGGACAGCCTACTTTTCCTCTACAGTCAGGCTCTCACTCAATTTCTCTGAGCCTCAATGTCCTCATGGCTGAAGTGGGTACAAGAATGGTAACCCCAATAGAGCTCAGAGCTGCCGTATCCTGCCAGGTGTAAGGCTGAGATATGGGGTGGGGTGGGGTGGTGGGGTCGATGCAGTGCCCTCTTTCTTGCCTCGGGTCCCTGCATGGTGACTCTGGAGGCCCCCTCACCTGCTCTGAGCCTGACCCCCACCCCAGAGAGGTCCTGTATGGAGTCGCCTCCTGGGGGGACAGATGCGGGGAGCCCGGGAAGCCTGGGGTCTACACCCGTGTAGCCGTGTTCAAGGACTGGCTCGAGGAGCAGATGAGTGGTGAGTGCTGGATTCCTATCGCCCCCTTCACAGAGGCACCCCACCCTCAGCCCCCTTGTGCATCGGGAAAGCCTGTCTCTCTCCAGAGCAGGGCTTCGGGGGCTAGGACTCAAAACGGGGGTGGGGGAGGGGCGAACTGCCCCCTGCCGCTCTCCGCAGCGCCCCCCTCCAGCCGCGAGCCCAGCTGCAGGGAACTTCTCGCCTGGGAACCTCCCGAGGAGCCACTAGCAGACGCCCTCCCGCCCTGCGCCTTCTACGCCCACCTGTGCCCGGGACCCGAGGGGGCCTGTGCGCCCCTGGCGCATCAGCAGTGCGTGCAGCGCCGACGGCGATGCGGTCAGTAGCGTTCCCGGGGCCAGGCAGGGGAGCAGGGACCCTGGCCCACGTCTGACCTCCAGCCGCACCCTTGTCCCGCCCGCAGAGCTGCGTTCGCTGGCCCACACGCTGCTGAACCTGCTGCGGGGAGCCCAGGAGCTGTTCGGCCCGCGCCCGGGGAAGCGGCGCCTGGCCCCGGCCCTGGCTCGCCCCGCTCGGTCGCTCCAGGAGCTTCCTAGGCACCCTGCCCGAGAGCAGCGGCCGCACCCAGGTACCCCAAGCCCTCGCAGCTCAGCCCCGGTCCCACCCCTGCGCGGTAGAGGCTTTCCCCTAATCCTGTGATTCCCCAGAGTTTCCGGCTCCAGGCGCCCTGTTGCCGAAGCGGAGGCCAGGGCAGCGCGGAGACGCGCACGGTAAGTACGCCGCCTGTCGGCCGCCGCCACGGGAGCAGGCCTAGAGCTGGCGGAGGCCCGGAGCGGAGTCTCCTGGGATCTGCACTGGGGAGCAGTTATGCCGTGGGGCAAGGGGCAGACCGGCTCCCCGCTCCCCCGAAGCAGGGGAGTGACTCTCTGGCGCTGCTTGTGGCCTTGGGCCCTCATCAGTGTCAGGAAATGCTCTGCTCTGTGTTACCACTTCACCGCTCTGAGCCTCAATTCCCCCATCCTGAGTGTGAGAAGCTGCCCCCGGGAGGTGGTCCTGAGGTTCTGGGGGGCACCTGCCCCACTCCCCACTGGTGTCTCTCCTTCCTTGCAGGTTGTGCTGGCCTGGAACCCTTGCGGCAGAAGTTGGCCACCCTCTGGGACACCCATACCTGGATCCTGCAGGTCCCCACTGAGCGCCTGGCCATGGACTTTCAGGAGGTGGGTTGCCAGGCTTCTCAGGCTCCTTCCCAGTGGTGGCTGAAGGCAGACCTGGGTCAGCCCTGGCCGGTAGGGGGACTGCGGGGGCACCCTCCACAGCAGGAAGGGGGACCTTCCCCACGGCCTGGTGGGGGGAGCAGAATTGGGGGGGGCGGGCAGCTGGATGTGGGCTGGGGTGCTGGGTGGGTGTGAAGGTGTGGGGGGGTCGGGGGAGTAGAGGGGCATGTGGGGCTGTCCAGGTGGGCAGGGAGTGCGCAGGGTTGTGCGGGGGTAAGGAAGGGGGTGGGTTTGGGCGAGAGTTTGGAGAGCCAGGAGGAAGGGACCGAGAGGCGGGTGTGGGCCCCTAAGCGTCCTCCTCCGTCTGCAGGGCCTGGCCGATCTGGGCTCCAAGACAGTAATGGGGCTCTTCCCAGCCTGGGTCCGAGCAGGCTTGGGGGGCCAGCACGTGGTCTTTGGTGGCCTGGTGGGCCTGGAGCCGGCCACACTAGCTCGGAGCCTTCCCTGGCTGCTGGTGCAGGCCCTCCGGGCCCTCCGCTTGGCTGCTCAGGCCAAGGCAGAGCCCCAGGGGGCCCGGGCGGGTGCGGGGCAGAGCCGGGGGCTGGGGGGAAAGGACCACCACCCGCCTGGCCCTCAGGTTCGCCCACCCAGGCAGCCATGAGCCACGTCTGGGCCCCCAGCCCCTGGTCAGGAACTACTGCTCCCAGGGGCTGGGCATGTTCAGGGAACATGACAACAAACTGCCACAGCCACAGGTGGCCCGATGTGTGGGGTGGGGCGAGGGTTCTGGGCCCTGTGTGTCACCAGATGCATCATCAGAAAATCACAGTTTTTCTTTAATAAATGTTATTTATGGTGTATGGAGACCACTCTGGTGCTTTCTTGGGAATGGGGTGAGGGGACGTTAGCTCTCTAGGAGCAGGGCCGTGCAGGGCCCAGCCTCGAGAAGCAGTTGGCAGACGTCACAAGGACACAGGAGAGGCTGCCGTCTGAGCAGACCTGTCTGCCTCCCCAGAAACGGAGGCTGGCCTGCCTGTGGCCACTCCCTGACACGTGGCTGACCAGCCCTGCTCCAGTGCCTGGTGCCTGCCCCCAGCCCTCACCCCGCTGCTAGTTGGGGGGACTCCTAGCCTGGGATCTTCGCCTTCTGTCCTTGGGCTTCTGCCCTGCTGGCCAGTCCCAGTCCCCACCCCCTCATCACCTGCCCAGCGTTTTCTGCCCTGCAGCAGGGCCTAGAGGTATCAGATTGCATTTCCGGCGGCCTCTTCCCTGGGGCCCCCCTACCCCCACTCTGCACCTGTCCCCTCTGCCACTCACACACATTCCCAACCCAGCAGACAGGAGGAGCAGACGCAGCACCTAGCTGGAGGGACAGGATGGAGGGGCCCGTGTCAACACTGGGGCTCTTGGCTGCCCTGGTTGTGTGTGGTAAGATTAGACATCACCCTGCCCACCCAGGCCCCCCACAGCACGGTCCCCTCCTGCGCCTCCTCCCTACGGCTTCCCCTGCCCCCTGCCTCAGGCCCCCCCACTTCCACTGCCTTGTCTCCCTGGGGGGCCCACCACTCCAGGGAGCGGATGGATGCCCCTGCAGGACCCCAGGGCGGCTTCCTCCCTGGGCCCTGCCCAGTACCCCGTCCCTGTCCCCACCCGTCCCCAGGCAGCTGGGGTCTCAATGAGGAGGAGCGGCTGATCCAGCACCTGTTTAAGGAGAAGGGCTACAACAAGGAGCTGCGGCCCGTGGCTCACCCCGACGAAAGCGTGGCCATCTCGCTGGCCCTCACTCTCTCCAACCTCATCTCCCTGGTGAGTGCCCCTCCGGGGCCGGGGCCGGGGCCGGGCTGGGGACGGGAGGGCAGGCGCAGCTGCCTTGTGGCCTGGCTCCCTCCCAGGCTGGGGTGGCCGCGGAGGAGACTCAAGGCCCCAGGCCGGCCTGTGGCGGCTCCCCTCTCCGTGCCCTGTGCTGCCCAGGCCCTCGGGCCGACGCCCTCCCCTCCAGCGGCCACCCTGGGCTGCCCCACCCCCACATCACACTTTGGAGGCCACGTGTCCTCCCTGCTCTGTGATCTGCCGGCCTGCCCCTGAGTTCTTGGACCAGCTGCCACGTCCACCCCACCCCCTGCCGCGGGGGGGGGGTGGCACCCAGGAGAAGTGCCTGGTGAATGGGTGCAGGTGGAACAATGATGTCGGCCCCTGGGAGACGCCCCCCACTCCACCCCCGTCTGATTACAGAAAGAAGTCGAGGAGACCCTGACCACCAACGTGTGGATCGAGCACGTAAGGAGGACACCCTACTCAGAGCCGGGGGTGGCGTGCGGTGAAAGTACAGGGCCTAGGCTCGCCTGTGCACACTTGTGCTCAGGGACCCCCAGCCTGCCTGAGACACTGTCCCGCAGGAGGCGCGGGCTCCTGTCTGCAGAGACGCCACAGCCCAACCGCCCTTCCCCCCACCTAGGGCAGCCCCCAGCCCGGACAGAGCCTTGGGGAGGATTAGTATTCTTCACCTGTGGGAAGATTGTCCCCGGATCTGATGTTTTAGAAGACACCCTCTGTCACCTGTCAGAAGTTCATAACATAGAGATGTCTTCTATGTCCACAATGGAGATAACATTCCCTTGGCTGTGCAGTGCGCATCCCATACAGCCATACGTGGCGGACCTGAGTCCTTGCTCTGTACCCACCTCCCCAAACCCCTGTTATCACAGCCCCAGACCCTGTCCTGTCTTCCCTCTGGGAGGCGGCAGGGAACGAGGGAGCCGGGACAGCAGCAGAACCCCCTACTGACGTTCCCGTCGGCTTCCAGGGCTGGACAGACAGCCGGCTGCAGTGGGACGCCCAGGATTTCGGGAACATCAGCGTCCTGCGCCTGCCGCCTCACATGCTGTGGCTGCCGGAGATCGTGCTGGAGAACAAGTTGAGCCGCAGCCCTCCCTGCCCCCTCCCCTCGGCCTCCCTCCCGCTCCGAGCCTCTGGCCGCCCTCACCCCTCTGCTTTCCCCAACCTGCCAGTTTGAAGCTGGCCCTTGCTCACTGTGGCCCTTGTCCCTGTCCCCCAGCAATGATGGCTCCTTCAAGATTTCCTACTCCTGCAACACGCTGATCTATCCTTCAGGCTACGTGTACTGGCTGCCGCCCGCCATCTTCCGCTCTTCTTGCCCCATCTCCGTCACTTACTTTCCCTTCGACTGGCAGAACTGCTCCCTCAAGTTCAGGTGCACTCACTGCTCCAGCCACCCTGCCCCCCAGGGCTCCCTGCCAGGGGTCACCTTCAGACAGAGGCACCTGCTCTGTCCTGATTAAAGCTCCCCTCCCCCACAATGGCCCCTCTGACTGCGGGACCTAGTCCCTATTAGTGGCCCCAGCCAGTGGCTGAGGACCACCCTCTGCCCACTGTCCCCCCCCCCACAGTTCGCTCAAGTACACGGCCAAGGAGATCACCCTGAGCCTGAAGCAGGAACAAGAAGGGGACCGCTCATACCCCGTGGAGTGGGTCATCATCGACCCCGAGGGCTTCACAGGTGCTGGGAGCAGCGGCGCGTAGGGGGGCAGGTGGGCAGGCCCCTCGGGACCTCCCCCAGGGATACCCATAGGGCCACCCTGCCACGTCTGCACACCCACAAATTCATCCTCACGGACACAAAGCCAGCACGTTGGAAGGAGAAGAAGCCCGACTGGAGGGGTCAGTGTCCCAAAGTCAGGGACAGATCGGCACCAGCGCTCCACCCCCACCCTTGCCCAGGCCAGAAGGCCCTCTGGGTCCAAGCAGGGGCCCTGGGGATGGGTGTGGCTGACAGAGAGGGGGTGTTGGTCTTCCTGTCCCCCGAGCGCCCAGGGGTATGGCTGGGGATTCAGCGCGCGCCTTGATAGGGTGTGCGTCACCGCCCACCCCGTATTGGTGACCAGGCTCAGATCTTTTAAGGGGCCCCCACCACTTGCCCCTGTCCCTCAGAGGAGACCCACATCCTGCTGACGCATCACAGGTTGGAGGAGGGGGTTCGTAGTCTCACTGCCCTGTTATTCCCAAGACTCCTTATGTGAGCCGCCTATGGCCTCAGCTTTTATTTTTTCCAAGGAGAGGGGAAAAAACCCATCCCACGGGAAAATTCCTCCCTTGCAGATTGAGAGCTCCACCCCCATCCCTGGAAAAGACCCACAAACAGAACCTGAACCCTCCTCTGAGTTGTCCCCCCACAGGGCCTTGCAGGCTGGCCTGGCTGCCCCTCGGGGGGCCTGTCCACTAGCCCCTTGGCCCCCCTCGGCCCTCCTCGGCCCCCCTCGGCCCCCTTGTCTGGCCTGACCGCAAGGCGTCCGTATGCTGCCCACAGAGAACGGGGAGTGGGAGATAGTGCACCGGCCAGCCAGGGTCAACGTGGACCCCAGTGCCCCACTGGACAGCGCAGGCCACCAAGACGTCACCTTCTACCTCATCATCCGCCGCAAGCCCCTCTTCTACGTCATCAACATCCTGGTGCCCTGCGTGCTCATCTCCTTCATGATCAACCTGGTCTTCTACCTGCCGGCCGACTGTGAGCCCCAGCGCCCAGCCCTGGCTCCTGGGCTGCCCGGGCAGCCCCTTCCCGCCCCCCCCCCGCCCCTGTCACCAGAGCACCCCCACCCCAGCCCAGCCTCTCACTCCCCCTTGGGGTCACTGCTGCCCAGGCTCCAGGCATGAGGAGCATGTGGCCAGCCAAGGGGAGGGCTCTTTGACACTGTCCCACATCCCCCAGATGGACAGGGCCAAGGACCCTAGACTGTCTTTCTGCCAGGGCAGAAATCAGGTCTGTCGCGGTCAACAGATATGACTGTGGGCTGGCATGCAGGAGCCGTCGACAGCTGAGTCGGGGGGGATGACGGGACCTCTCGGAACCCAGGCCACGGAGACAGGCATCCACGCTCCCCGGGCTCTGGAAGGGCCCCTGCCGTCCTCCCTGCTCACTGGGCTGCAGGATATTTGCTACGAGCAGGGCACAGCGAGCCCCAGAGGCAAATGCCACCCCGCTCCTGCCCCTGGCTGAGACCGGTTGGGAGGCACATTGCCCATAGATAAAGGGGGCTGGGGCAGAGCCACTGGTGGCCACCTCGCAGTTTGCTCCGCAGCTCAGGCGGGGAGGGCAGGGCCGTGCGGAGCCAGGGTCTTTGAGCGAAGGGCTGGGGGTTGGCGTGTTCTCCTGGGCTGTCTGTGCAGGGAGGGACACGCGGAGACCTGTTATTTAGGATAGGAGGGCTGAGGGGCAGGGCATTGGCTAAGCGAGACAGCTGGTGTTGTTAGAGGTCTCACCCAGGGCCAGGAGGAGTGGCCGGCGTTTAACACACTCTTTCACTTGGCCCTCACAACAGTTAACCGTTGAGAGAACTGAGGCACAAAGAGGTGAGGCCACGAGCCCAGGGTCCCCCGCCGGGAAGCATCAGAGCTGGGACGTGAACCCAGCCATGCCCGCTCCATAGCCTGTTGTGCTCACGAGGGCACCGTGGCATTGTGAACAGGGGTATAAGGTCCACGGCCGAGGCCCCAGCTAAGTGCAGCCTCCCTCAGGTGGCGAGAAGACGTCAATGGCGATCTCAGTGCTCCTGGCACAGTCTGTCTTCCTGCTGCTCATCTCCAAACGGCTGCCCCCCACATCCGAAGCCATCCCCCTCATCGGCAAGTAAGGCACCCTTTCCTCCCTAGCCGTGCCCCCGCTCGCCGTGCCCCGCCTCGCCAAGCCACGCCACGCCCCGTCACGCCGTGCCACGCCCCACCCCGTCATGCCCCGCCCCGCCGCGCCCTGGCGGCTCCAGGCTACCTGTGTGCCCACAGGTTCCTGCTCTTTGGGATGGTGCTGGTGACCGTAGTCGTCGTGGTCTGTGTCATCGTGCTCAACATCCACTTCCGCACGCCCAGCACCCACGTGCTGCCCGAGGGCACCAAGAAGGTGAGGGCTGCCGCAGCCCAAGGCTGGAGAGTGTTCACAGGGCCCCCAAGAGGAGTCTGGGTAAAAGCACCGCGGGATTTCCCGTTACTAAGCGCTCCCCAGACATACAAAAGCGCCACCTGCTGCTGCCCACACCAGCCCATGTGGACGGCTCTCCCAGGTAGAACATTACCTGAAAGAAGCCAGACATGCAGGAGCACAGACCGCACAATTTCCTTTTTCTAAATTTCAAGGGCAGGCAAAACCAATCGTTAGTGGAAGAAGTCAGAGGGGTGGTTACCTATGGGGGTGAGAAGGGCTTGATGTGGGAGGCATGAGGGAGCCTTTTGGGGATAATGTTGGGTCCCTTGTCTGGGTGGCGTTCACATTGTTGGGCGCACCTGCCAAATTGCATCTAGCGCTTTGTAGCAGCAGAAACGGAGTCGCAGATGTTTGGATGTGTGAAGGCAACTCATGGTTAAATGACCTTCCTCTGTCCCCCTGACCTGCCACAGCTTTTCCTAGAGACCCTGCCCAAGTTCCTGTACATGTCCCTGCCGGAGGAGGATGGACCCAGTCCTGGGGCCCTGGTGCGGAGGAGCAGCTCCCTGGGTTACATCTCCAAGGCCGAGGAATACTTCTCGCTCAAGTCCCGGAGCGACCTCATGTTCGAGAAGCAGTCCGAGCGGCACGGGCTGGCCCGGCGCCTCACCACGGCCCGTGGGTCCCCAGTGGCTCGGGGTGTGGCCCAGCCGTGGGAGGCGGGGTGGGGGCGGGCCTCGTGCCCACCTCTGGCCTGTGTCTGCAGGCCGGCCCCCAGCAGGCTCCGAGCAGGCGCAGCAGGACCTGTTCAGTGAGGTGAAGCCAGCTGTGGATGGGGCCAACTTCATTGTCAACCACATGAGGGACCAGAACAACTACAATGAGGTGAGTAGCCCCAGGGCTGCCATGTACAAGGGTTCAAGTTGTGCACGATCAACTGTATCCCATCTAAAGGGCACACAGTTCCCCGCAGAGCACATATGAACTTCGATGAAGGAGTTCCCAGCGGGTGCAGAAGCCAGGCTCCCCCGAGCCGGGAGCCCCTGCCGAGAACCCATAGCAGCACGTGGGGCCAGGCACACACTCAGGGCACACGCGGGCACAGGGCTGCGCATTCTGGACAGTCCTGAGGGCCCCTCCTTTCTCCCGGCTGCCAGTCATCTTCTGCCCCTGCTCAGCTCCAAGTCCAGACATTGGAAAGGCAGCCTTGTATGGCTGTTCGATATTACACAGCTTTCTAAAATTTTCTCTTGAGCAAAGGGTGCCTTTCTCCAGTTCACAGAGGAGGAGGGCCTGGGCCCTTGCTGGGGACATGCAGCGCATCCCCTCGGCTGTAAGCCTGAGGCGGCCCCCACGGGCACACCAAGGCCGTGCCTGTCACTGGGCCCAAGCTTGGGGCATGGGCCTGTGGCCTGCGGGCCCTTCTTCCTTCACCGTCTGTCTCCCCCCCATCCCCAGGAGAAGGACTGCTGGAACCGGGTAGCCCGCACGGTGGACCGACTCTGCCTGTTTGTGGTGACACCTGTCATGGTGGTGGGCACAGCCTGGATCTTCCTGCAGGGCGCCTACAACTTGCCCCCACCCCAGCCTTTCCCCGGGGACCCCTTCTCCTACCGGGAGCAGGACAGGCGCTTCATCTAGAGCACGCGCACCCTGCCCGGCCTGGCCCCGCTCTCAGGGCAGCTTTGGGGGGGCTTTTGGCCTGAAAGGGGTGGGCCTTCAGGGCTGGCAGGGATGCCCAAGAAAGGACGAGCTCTTCGAGGGGGGCGACTCTGGGCCCCGAGGCTTGAGCCCAGCTGACCCTGCAGGGCTGGCGTGGAGACTGGCTCCTGAGACAAGCAGAGGAGGGCGAAGGCCCAGTCCTCAGTAAACAAAAACAAGAGCCCCCGGGAAGGCTGGGGGGCCGGGCAGGGCGATTTGGGGGGCAGACAGGGCCTGGTTCAATGCTGACCTTTCAGGACCCCTGTGTGAGAAAGACAGAGGCCTCTTCTTGCCTCCCTTCCCCTGGGCAGGGCTGGAGCAGGTGGGCCCTGCACCCTCACTTCCTGGTTCCTCAAGCTTCCCTGCTCCTGTCCACCCCTGGCCTTGGGCTTCTGAGGCCCCACCGGGAGCCAAGGTCAGGGGCACCTCCCTCTCCAGGCCCTTCAGGGAAGCGGGTTTTGGGCAGGTGCTGCAGAGTGGCCTGCCTGCCTTGGCCACTCTGGCTGGGTCCCTGTGGGACTCTGGGGGCCGAGGTGGAAGGGCTGGGCTAGCAGCCACAGGGGTCAGCGCTCAGCCTAGAGCCCCAGGCCTCAGCTCCCCCTGCCCCCCCCGCAGTGGTGTCCCCTTTCGGTCACCTATTCCTCTTCTCCACTGTAGGGTTGCCAGGCAAGATTTGAGACGACTCATACTAAAAAACAATTAGTTGTATTTATCTGAAATTCAAATTTAACTGGGCATTTTACATATTTATTTGCTAAAACTGGCAACTCTGCCCCAAAGGGGACTCCTGTCAACCTTACCCCAAGGGCCAAGGCCGAGGCTGGGGGAGCAGGGGGATGAGGCTCTGTGAGGTGGCCCACCTCCAGGATGACCCCCATGACACCCCCGCTCCTGTGTCACGCCCTGCGCTGTGCCCTCCACGCCATCCAGGGGTGGTCTGTGTGGCAACAGAATGAGGCAGGCGTGACCATAGGTTGCATCCAAGGTCAGGCTATAGAAGATATTGTAGCGCCCGCCCCCCACCCCCCACCTTCTTGCTATCCTCCCTTTACTCCCACTTTCACTTGGGGAAGCCGGGGCGGGGTGCACGATGAACGCCCTGTGGAGAGGCCCGCAGGGCAAGGAGCTGAGGCCTCCTGCCCACAGCCATGGGAGTCAACTTGAACGTGGATCCTCCAGCCCCGCAGACCTTTGGATAAGATCGCAGCCCCACGGCAGCCCCTGAGCCGGAACCACCCACCTGAGGTGCTCCTGGATTCCAGACCCTCGCAAACTGTAGGAGATAATAAATGTTTGTTGCTTTGCGGGTCCTGCAAATTAAGTGGGGGTTGTTTATCTCGTTCCTCATTTGAGGGCGTCCGTCACACAGGGTCTCCTACCTCCAAGCCCGGTGCGGCAGCTGAGGGCCGGAGTGGCCGCTGAGCGCCCGAATGCGCACTGCCTGAGGCCTAGGCTCAAGGCCTTCACAGCTCACCCTGCTTCCCTTGGAGGGAGCTCATGAGCTTATAACCTCAGCCCTATAGAAGGCGACATGTTTGGTCTTTCGATAGAGCTGACGGAAAAGAACAAAACTGACCCCACTTAGTTCTGCCTTCCAATGTGAATCATCCACAAATTTAAGGTGCACACTTTTTTAAAAAACGTTTTATTTATTTAACTTTAGAGAGGGGGAAAGGAAGGAGAAGAGGGGGAGAGAAACACTGATGTGTGAGAGATACAACAATTGTTTGCCTCTTGCACACGCCCAACTGGGGGCCTGGCCAGCCTCCTAGGCATGTGCCCTGACCGGGAATCGAACCATCAACCTTTTGGTTTGCAGGCCGGCACTCAATCCACTGAGCCACACCTGCCAGAATTCAAGGTAGACTTTTTTTTTTTTTTTTTATACCTTCCCTTTGAATAGGAGAACTAACTTGGCCTTACACTTGTCAGATGGGAAGGAAGTCCGGGATTTTTCGTCCACTGACTCTGCCCGCTGTCGTTGTTTCTCTCTGCCACACGGTGGTGCTGTTGGCAGGTGAATCCTCAGGTGCATTAGGCCTAGCTCAGGTAGCTGTGAGCCTTCCAGAAAAGACATCCCCCAAAGGCCACACCCAGCCGAAACTGCTGGTTGTGCAGAGCGGGTCCCTCAGCGGCGCCCACGCCCCCGGCACTCCAGCTCCAGGGTGCTGTCGGGACCCGGCCACTCTCCAGGTGACATGGAACTCTATCATCTTCCCTCCATGGGAAGTCACAGCCACGGCGACCCGTGCTCCATGAAGCCAGGGCTGTCCCTACACGAGTAGGCTTTCCTCTTTCTCACAAATAAGGACCACAGGGCCATGCAACATTGGTTCAGCTGTCCCACGAAGCTGTTAGGGACCCAGGTGTGTTGCCCCAGGTGGCAAGCTGACTGCCACAGCTCTGCACTTCACGTCTATGTTTGAGGCAGGAAAGGGGCCAGGCATTTCTGACCCCTTTTATCGGGAAGCAGAAGCCTCCCCCAGAAGCCCCTCACCCGACTTGTGCAGACGTACCATTGGTCAAGACGTTCTCCCACAGCCGGTCCTATCTGCAAGGGAGCCTGGGAAGTGAGCGTTTTGCTTTTCCAGCCTCTAGAGTAGAAGGTGCTGATGGAGGCGTTGTTAGACAATAAGTGATGCCCACAGAAGATTTTCTCTTGACAGGTCCCCTACCTCTCCCCTAACCCCTCAGGGCAGAAACCGCAGTGGCCTCAGAGGCGACACCCCCCTCCTGGGAACCAAGGGGGCTCTTCAGCCTCTGTCCTAGAGCAGAGAGGAGGGGAGAAAGCAGGCGTTTGAATCTTCATACATAGGGAGCATAATTCCAACCAGGGACAAGTTGGTCTCCATCATCTCCCGTTTCCTTCCCTCCCAGATGCTTGTGGGGAAGGAAAAAGGTGGAGTCGGCTGTTGAAGCATCGCTGGACCCCCTATGCTTGGCATGGTGCTGGGGGCGGGGGGTAGGCGGCCCATTATTGAGCAAAAGCCATTACTGCTCTTTGACAAAGTGTGGTGTTGGAGGGGACTAGTGGGAGGAAGAGAGAGTGCACTGCAAAATGGGTGAGGGAGCTGAGCCTGGGGACACCAGGGGCGGAGCGGCAAGAAGGGGCCATCGGCTTTGTAAACTCCAGAGAAAGTGGCCTAGACGCAGGGACAGATCAGAGCTTGGGGTCGGGGGCGGGCACCAGGGAAAACTGAGTGTGGGGCCAGAGCAGGACTGAATGCAGGAGGGCAGGTGAGCCACGCGCACGTGACACCGTGAGAGCAGATGACCAGGGAGGCAACTGTCACCCCCACCTCCTGCCCCACCTATCCAAGTCCCGGGGAGGACAAGACGAGCTGGTGGCCCTGCTACAAGGGGCTGGGGTCCGAGCCAGCCTCATTTGGATCTCCAAGGACGGGGCATGTCAGCTGACTTCTGATTTACTGACATACTTGAAATGCCACAGACGTCGTTCATTTGTGGGGCGGCAGACATGCCCTCCAACGGTGTTTTCTCCCAGACCTCAGAGGCGCCTGCCACCGTCCCCCAGGATGCTGGAGGGTGGGGGGCGTGAATGGGAACCTGCGTTTTCTGTCTTGCCCACGAACTGGGGGGTTATGCTGACCTGTCTGCTTGGAATGGACAGTCAGGGGACAGGTGGCCAGAGCCTGTGGTCATGGCCATCGGCTCCCAGATCCGCCGTAGCCCCGCCCTGCCGCTGACCACATCTGACTCGCGGGAGCGGGGCCAGAACTTCCATCTTGTCCACCTGTCCCACTGGACTGTGGGTTCCCGCAAGCAGCTCAGGTGTATCCTGGGTCCCCGCCGCCTAGCTCTGTGCCTGCCACATGCTAGGGACTCATAAGTCCATGGATGACTTAGTAAGTACTGAGGCCTCACAGAGGGGTCCCTACTCCGGGGCTGTGCTATTCACAAGAGCCCCAAGTTTCAGGTCCTTCTCAGCTCTCCTTCCCGGAAGCTTGCCAGGCTGGGACCCAAGCCTCAGAGGCGGGGGGGACCCTGATCTGACACCCTAATTTGTGTTGAGGTGTCAAAACCTGGGGGACATAATGCATCCTGTTTGTCGGCATTTCACCCTCTGGTGTCTTGACCCGTTCATTTGTCAGGCTGGTGGAGGAAGTTTGGGGTCCTCAACCACGTCATTGAGGAATGCGGGCACAAAGCACGCCTAACCAAAAGCCTTCACATTGCCCCCAATCCTGACACGCTGGAGGAAGCAGGAGGAGGGAGCCTTCCTAAGTAAGCACCCTGCCTTGTCCCCTGTACCCACGTGGCCTGGCTGCACCCTCAGCTCCACAGCTGGACCATGAATCTGGGACAGCCGAGTCTGAGTGGGGATGGAGGCCGGACCGTCTCCGCGGGGGCAGCCGGGGCCCCTCCGTCCCCTCCCCAGCCCAGGAAACCTGAGCCTGGCATCTTGTCCACCCTAGAACAGCTGACAGCGCTGTGGCCAGACAGCTGGTGGGGCTGGGGTGAGAGCCGGGGCTGTGACGTGAGACCCAGAGTCCGCATCTCTTGGCCTCAGACCCGGGGAGCTGCCTCCCGCCCGTCACTGTGGAGAGCTGTGGCACCATGCGCCGGGGGCAGGGGCAGCTGTTGCTCCTGCCGCTGCTGGCTCTCTGCCTCGGTGTGGACCCGGGGGCTTGGGGGCCTGGGGAAGACTGGAACCGGGCGGGATCCCAGGCCTCAGGAGGCGGGGGGACTGGAGGGCTCTCGGAACCTGCCCCCACTCCAGCTGCCTGCCTTCCCATGTCACCTCCTCCCATGGCCTCCCCCTCTGTCGGCCCCAAGCCCCCGCACCCCAGCTCACCGCGGCCTGTTGCAGGAGCCCAGGGCCGGAGCCAGGAGGAGCGTCTGCTCGCAGACTTGATGCGCAGCTACGACCCCCACCTGCGGCCTGCTGAGCGCGACACCGACGTGGTCAACGTCAGCCTGAAGCTCACCCTCACCAACCTCATCTCCCTGGTGAGCGCAGGCCTGCAGGGTGACAAGGGAGGAAGGGCCAGGGCCCTGGCCTTGGGCCCTGCTGGGGAGAGGAGGGGCTGCTCCAGCAGCCGCCAGGGGCGGGGCGGGCCCACGGCGCGGGGGTGGGGGGGAGGCAGGATGCTGGAACCCCCCACAGAGGCTGCCAGGAGGCTGGGGTCCTGTGGGACCCAACTGTGGCCTGTAGGAACTAACATCTGGGGAGGGTGAGCGATGGGCGCTTATACCTGGGTCTGCACCCCCAGAACGAGCGAGAGGAGGCCCTCACTACCAACGTCTGGATAGAGATGGTAAGAGATGGTTCTGTCACCCTCTCCCCCTCTATCAGTCCCCCGGACGGGGCCCCCAGGTCCTCGAAGCTGCCTGTAACCCCCCTCCCTGCCCCTTCTGTGCCCCCGGGGCTGGGCGCCTGCTCCTGGGGATGTGGCACGACAGAGAGCAGGGGCCTGGCAACCCCCCTCTCCCTGCAGCAGTGGTGTGACTACCGCCTTCGCTGGGACCCTCAAGACTACGAAGGCCTGTGGGTGCTGAGGGTGCCGTCCACCATGGTGTGGCGGCCAGACGTCGTGCTGGAGAACAAGTGAGAGGGGCGCGGGCAGGGGCGGGGGGACCGAAGGATACAAGGGCCGGGCCTAGCGGGACAAGGGCGCGTCTGGGAAAAAACAGGCACACAGAGGGCGACGACTGGGCCCTTTGGGGGCGTGGACTGCAGGACAGAGCAGGTGTGGAGGGCCGGCCCGGGGCCACCTGGCTCAACACCAGTGGGCCAGCTGCCCAGGTGGGCCACTCGCTCCCCTATGTCGGGTGTGAGGGCCGCTCCTGCAGAAACTGTCGAGAGTCGCGAGTCGATGAGGTGGGAAAAGCACTGCGCTCAGCCCTGGCACTTTGCAAGAGAGGGGCAGATGCCGGTGGCCATTCTGACCATGGCCGCAGAGAGGAAGAGAGCCGGGGAGACAGCAGGGCTTAGGAGGCGGGGTGGGGAGCCCGCGGGTGGGCGTGGCAGGGACATGCTGGGGAAGGTGGTCAGTGTGCATGTGACCTGGTGGGGACCAGGCAGGGGCGTGGCCCCTGGGAGGGGTTGGCGTCCCCAAGCCCCCTGCAAGCAGGGCAGAGAGCTGGTGCCAGGTGCGGTCTCAGCAGCCCCGTGGCCTGGCCTGTCCGCAGCGTGGACGGCGTGTTCGAGGTGGCCCTCTACTGCAACGTGCTCGTGTCTCCTGACGGCTGTGTCTACTGGCTGCCGCCCGCCATCTTCCGCTCCTCCTGTCCCGTCTCCGTCACCTACTTCCCCTTCGACTGGCAGAACTGCTCCCTCATCTTCCAGTGAGGCCATACGCAGTGGCACGGGGTCGGGGGGCTCGGGGAGCTGCCCCAAGAGGGGCCCTAGCCGGGCAGGGGACAGCAGGCCTCTGGCCAGGGGCCTGGCTTCATCTCTCCAGGGCGTCTGTGCTCATCTCAGGTCCAGGCACCTAGAGACACCCACGCCCTCCCTGCTAAGTCCCCTCACTCACCCTCCTTTGCTGCTTCAGTTTCCCTCCCTGCGCTCCAGGGGGGAAATCAATGTCTGGGTTGGTGGCATGTGAGAAGGCACATGCATGCCACAACATACATGGTACACACACATGTGCCAGTACACACAGGAGCCCACTACCCCAACAGCCCAGCGGAGAGGCTGGGCCACCTCAGTGTCCTCATCTGCCAGTGCCAGAGGGGGTCTGGCGGGGGGTCTTCCCGAGTCTAGAGGAGCAGCCCTTTCACAGGGAGACCTTGCAGGAGACCCTCCGCCATCAATGGGCCAAGCAGTGCAGTTGGGTTTTCTCTGTTCTGACCGCCGGCCCCTCCTGCCCGGGAGGCAGTGGAAGAGCAGAGCACAGTGACCCTCGGCCCTGGGACACCAGGCGACCGCACTGAGCCGCAGTCTCCGGGCCCATCCGCTTAAACTTCCTCGTGGCCCCAGAGCCCGAGTCCCTCTCACCTTGCCGCCAGAGTGTTGTGGAGAGCTCAGGAATGGCGGCTGCACCTTCTGGGGCAAAACGGCCCACGGATGCCCGCAGGTGACTATGCCGTTCGCCTCCCTGGGAGGTCTGCGCACAGACTCAGCCTCCCCTCATCCGTCTGCCAGGTCCCAGACCTACAGCACCAGCGAGATCGACCTGCAGCTGAGCCAGGAGGACGGCCGGCCCATCGAGTGGATTTTCATCGACCCCGAGGCCTTCACAGGTAACCTGCACCGGGGCCCCGCTGGGCCCGGCTTGGGGGCGAGGCGAGACTGAGACCATGCCACCTCCCGCGCAACTCAAGGTGAAAACTAAGCAAACCATAAAACAAGCTTTTTTAAAGGGCTGACAAGTTCTGGTTTTCCCCATGATGAGGGCTCCCATTTTGGAGGGAGGGGGATCAAGCATCCCACTTCCCTGCTCTTTCCGTCCCTCGATGGTAGTCCCTCGGGCACACGGGGGCTGCAGGGGCTTGCCCAGCCCAGCCCTGTGCCCACCCGGCCTGCCGCCCGCAGAGAACGGGGAGTGGGCCATCCGGCACCGGCCGGCCAAGATGCTGCTGGACGCGGCGGCCCCGGCAGAGGAGGCGGGCCACCAGAAGGTGGTCTTCTACCTGCTCATCCAGCGCAAGCCCCTCTTCTACGTCATCAACATCATCGCGCCCTGTGTGCTCATCTCGTCCGTCGCCATCCTCATCTACTTCCTCCCCGCCAAGGGTACCTGCACCTGTGGGAGGGGGCCCTCGGCCCCGGCCAGGAGCATGGGGGACGGCTGGCAGGGCAGAGAGTGGACCTGGGCAGTGAGCTCCTCGGGCGGGGGGGGGCCCACAGCAGGGAGGCTGAGACCTGCCCTGAGAACCTCTCGGTCCCCGGCAGCGGGCGGCCAGAAGTGTACTGTCGCCATCAACGTGCTCCTGGCCCAGACGGTCTTCCTCTTCCTTGTGGCTAAGAAGGTGCCCGAGACCTCCCAGGCAGTGCCCCTCATCAGCAAGTACGGCCAGTCATGTCTGCTGCCCACCTCCGCCCCCTCCCTTCTCAGCTCTACCCTCCTGCTGCACCCTGCCCCACGCCCCCAGCCAACACCCCCCACGGGACCTGCGGGGAGCAACCACTAAGGGCGGGGTTGGCATCTGGGGACGCAGAGCCCAGAGCCAAAGGGCCAGCCCTGCCTCCTACCCCCGACCCCCGCCTCCCACAGGTACCTGACCTTCCTCCTGGCAGTGACGGTCCTCATTGTCGTGAATGCTGTGGTCGTGCTCAACGTGTCCTTGCGGTCCCCACACACACACTCCATGGCCCGCGGGGTCCGCAAGGCAAGGCCCCCGCCCCGCCCGTCCCAGCACCTTCCCGCCCCGTCCATGGGCATGGCTCTTCCTCAGCGCCCGTTCCACGTGCCACATTCAGCAGCAAATCTGCCCTGTGTGTACCTAGAAGCACGTGCCCCAATGAGTTGATGATATCAGGTGCTTACCAAGAGGCAGACACATCACACACACTAGCTCATTGAATCTTCATAAGGCCCCTCTGCGGTGCATATTAGTATTACCTCCACTGTTCAGATGAGGAGATGAGGCTCAGAGAGGTTAAGCAGCTCACCCAAGGTCGCACAGGGAGGCAGCGGAAGAGCAGGATTCTGACCAGGCGGTCCGGCTCTAGAGCCTGCGTGGTCTGCCATCCACCTGCAGCCGTCAGCAGAAGCGGATCCCCAGGACCCCGCCATACCCTGGGCCAGAATAGTGGGGTGGGGCGCAGGGACCTGTGTCTGGGACCTGGTGATTCTGACGTGCACAGAAGCTTGGGCACCAGGCCTCCATGTCTGGCACAGAACAGCCAAGCTGTATCAGGGCCACGCTACTACCCCAATGCGCTGCCTCCGGACCTCTGGCAGCGTGAGCCCTTCGAGCCAACCGTCACCTGCTGCTCCGAAGCAGCCAAGCCACCCAGAACATCCCCTCTCCAGGTGTTCCTGTGGCTCCTGCCCCCGCTGCTGCGGATGCACGTGCGCCCGCTGGTGCCGGCAGCTCCACTGGATGCCCGGCCCCGGCTGCAGAACGGCTCCTCCTCGGGGTGGTCAGCGTCAGGCGCGGAAGAGGCGGCCCTCTGCCTGCCTCGCAGTGAACTCCTCTTCCGGCAACGGCAGCGCAATGGGCTAGTGCGGGCAGCGCTGGAGAAGCTAGGTGAGGCAGAGGGCGTGACACTGGGGACACTCCTCCCTGTGAACCCCAGACGGGGGAGGGCTGTCTGTCAGCCAAAGCCCCAGGCACCACAGATGAGTGTTGGGCAGGTGTCCAGGTTGGGAACTTGAGTCCCCAAGGAGAGGCCGCCTCTCTGTTTCTCCTCATTCTTCTCACAGCCCTGACCCTCTCACCTCACCAGAGAAGGGCCCGGGGCCAGGGCAGAGCCAGGACCTGTGTGGCAGCCTGAAGCAGGCCGCCCCGGCTATCCAGGCCTGCGTGGACGCCTGCACCTTCATTGCACGCGCCCGACGCCAGCAGAGTCACTTCGACAGTGTAAGCCAGCCTGGGGTGGGGGAGGGGCTGGGACCTGTGGGGCGGGGGCAGGGGCAGCACAGGATGAACGGGGAGACCGTGGTAGGGCAAGGGGATGGAAAAAGTAGAGTTGGGAGTGGGGAAGAGGGATGACGTCAAGGCCAGGGGACCATGGAAGAAGCCAGGTTGAGGACTGGAAGTAGGTAAGAAAGGCGCAAGGAAATGGAGAACGGAGGCCTGCTGGAGGGCTGAGGGGGCTTCAGGGTTCCAGGGTGGGCTTGGCGCCGCCACTGGCCATCCCGCACCCTGCCTCCCGCCCTTAGGAGAACGAGGAGTGGTTCCTGGTGGGCCGCGTGCTGGACCGCGTCTGCTTCCTGGCCATGCTCTCGCTCTTCATCTGCGGCACTGCTGGCATCTTCCTCATGGCACACTACAACCGGGTGCCCGCCCTGCCGTTCCCTGGGGACCCGCGCCCCTATCTGCCCTCGCCGGCCTGAGCCAACCAATGGCTGTAAGCCACGCAGAGTCTTATCAGCTGTGTTTTTCTGCTGAGGTCCTGACTGTGCTCTTTGGGAAGCAGCCTTCAGGGCCATGGAAGCCAAATAGCCCAGAGAAAAGCTGGAGAAATAAAGAGACGGAGCTGGAGTCGTGCAGTGGTTGGGACGGCCTGCGGGCAGTGTGTGCTGTGCGGGGCAGTGTCCGGGCGCCGGTGGCTAGCTCATCCTGGCACTGGCCTTACTTCAGCAAAGCATGATGAACTCCCAAAATTTTTGAAGCCCTAATGACTCTATTTTGCATGTGCCCCCAACTAGGTAAGGTCCTCTCCCTCCAGACCTGGGCCTCCCTCCCTTTTTAGGAGTTCCCTGCAGGCTCCTAAAAGGGGAAAGTCAAGAGACATGTGAAGAGTAGCAGCCAATGACAGCCCTGGCCAGTGTGGCTCAGTTGGTCGGAGCGTCATCCTGTAATCAAAAGATTGCAAGTTCAAGTCCTGGCCAGGACACATGCATAGGTTGCAGGTTCAGTGCCCAGTCCAGGCTTGTGCAATCCCTGGTCTGGGCGCATATGGGAAGCAACTAACCGATGCTTCTCTCTCTCCGTGTGTCTCGCTCTAAAAAACAATGGAAAACATTGTCTTCGGATGGGGATTTAAAAAATAGTAATAAATAAAGATAAAAAAGATGGCAGCCCACTCCAGCTGCCCTCTCCCTCCTCTGCCTTTGGGTGCAGTAAGCACCGAGTACTCACCTGCACCAGTGATCTATCCGTCAGCATTTTTGCCATTGATTACAAACGGCTTCATGAGTCTTATTATCTTTTCCCATTGTTAAAAGCTCCTCACAGCATACGGAAAAGCAAGAGTCACTATATCCCTGTGTTTCAGATGGGCGAATCGAGGTCCCGAGTCAGAAGGGCTTCCCAGAACACTGATCGCTTTATGGTTTGGAGCCCAGAATTCCTAACTCTGACCTAATCTGAGACACTAAGATTCCCCAGAGAATTTGCAGTGGTCCCACAGGATGGTCAAGGGAGTGCTAGGTAGGGAGGCAGGAAGGTAACAGGGAACTGCTGGGCTCTGCCTTCCAGAAGATCCTGACCAGCCTCCCTGGACCCCACTTAGGAAACAAGATGGCCAGCTGATGTCTTCCTGGGGGCAGGGAAATGAGCAAGACCCTACTTTCAGAGTACAGACGGGGGGGGGGGGGGGGGGGGGGGGGCTGAGTTCTGTTGGTGACAAGAGGGTAAACCTGGGCAAGTCATCTGTGCTCCCTGAGCCTCTTCCCCCATCTTTAACTGTGGGCACAGATATCAGTTCCTACCTACCCTCATCTCAGGATCAAAGGTGTGGGTGAAGATAATTAAAAAATGTGAAAATGCCATATGAAGACCTGAAAATGGAACATTGGTGGGGGGAGGAAAGAGGATCCCAGAAATAACACCCTCTCCCAAGTACAGGATTGCTGGCTTTGGGGCTCAATCACCAGCAGCATCGTTTCCTTTACTCCAGTGTGAGCATTTGTGTATGTGTGCGCGTGAGCCCGCGTGTATGTTTGGAGCAGAGACTTTGATCCAGGAGGTGATTTAATGGTGGCAGACCCAGCTCTGGTTCCTCTGAGTCTCTTACTAGCTTTGTCACCTGGGATGAGTCTCTCAAACTCTCTAAATGCTTCACGGGGCAGAGGTTAGCTCTGTAGCTCCTGGCCCAAGTAAGTAGTGATTAACAATAACTACCACTTAATGTATCCAACGCCCCAAATGGATTATCTCGTTCGATCCACACGGCCACCTTAAGAGGCAGGTACTGTAGCACAATATGGCCAGCACCACAGAGGAAGAAGCCGCCCCAGGGAGGTTGAGTCCAGGATCGGTCAGCCCGCTCTGGGGCTGGAGTCGGATCTGTACCAAGCTGAGTCCAGAGCCCGCGCCCTCGCCGTGCGGCACTGCCTTTCTCCGAGCCTGCCACGGGAGCGGGTCAGCACGCGCTGCCTCGGGCGAGAAGTAATTCCTTGGAGGCGCAGGCCGGGCGGCCGGGCGGCCAAGAGACTGAGACAGATCCGACGCGTGCAGCCCGAAAGCCTGAGCGCCTCCGCGCAGCCGCCCTGGACGGGCGTCCCGGGATATCCGCCCCCCACCAGGCCCGCGCGCCTACGTTCCGCTGAGCCCCGCGCAACCGGAAGTGGCCGGGCCCTAGGCTGAGGGACCGGGAGAAGCGGAAATCACTCTGTGAGGCAGTGGCGACGGCGAGAGGATGAACAACAAGTTCGACGCGTGAGTGGCGTGCGGCCGCCTCCAGGGGCCCCTTCCCCCAACCGTTCCTCCAACCTGCCCTCGCCGCGGCTGGCGGCGGCGGCGCCAACTCCGCGGCGCTGGCCTCCGTCCCTGGCTCGCGCTGCGGGCTGGACCCGGCCCAGGCGGCCGGCTGGGAGGAGGGACCTGGGGAAGTGGGGTGCAAGGGTCCCGGGGACCCCAGGGCAGTCCGGACCGAGGGCGAAGCACAGGGGCCGGGAGAGGGGTGGTTGTGCCGCCCGGAAGAAGATTTTCGGACGCCCCGCCCTAGCGGGTGCGGGCTGAGCCAGCGGCGTGGAGGGGTTTAGGTGTCCGGGCGCTTCTGAATCTCTGAAACCAGCTTCCCACACGCTCATTTTGGCCTGCGCTGGTCACCTCTCCTCTTCGAGTCTGTTTTCTCATATGTAGAGTGGGGAATGGTAAAGAGCCCAGGTCGTAGAGTTGTGAAGATGCAGTGAGGTAATGTGGCCGCCGCGGGCAATCCCGCGGCCGCTCGGTTAGACGGAGTTCTCGTCCTCTTCCTGAGGCTCCTTCCTATTTCCCTTCTCCCCGCCCCGCCTTTCCTCTCCAGCACTCCCCGGGAGCTGCTCCGTTTCTGGCGCAGCGGGTGTACCTGTCGTGGCCCCGTCCCGGACTCATCTAGGTCCCCTGAGTACCTAGTTCCAGCAACAATTTGGAGGTGCAGAAAGGAAATGTAAAGTAATTTCGCGTATTTCCCCCCAGCGACTGTTTCTCAAAGTAGATTACGTCTTAGCTCTCTCTAGGAGTCTAGTAAATCTGCCTGCTTTTCAATAGCCTAGATTTCCAGACCCAGACCCATCGCCTGCTGGGACAGCAGAAAAGTTACCCACTTTCTCAGAGCCGTTATTACCCGAGCCACATCATAAGGGTCAGGTCACGTCCAGCATGCATGGACCATAATCGCTCCTAAATCGCTCCATAGTGATGCATGAATGTAAAGTGGAATTACTATTAGTTTAGGTTTTGACTCACTGCCGGTGCTGGGGAATCGGTCATTCCCCAGCACAGCGGGTGCTGGTGTGCATGTTCAGAGGTCCTGGATTCCAAGACTCCAGGCAGCTCCTGGGAGTGTTTCTGGGTTGCTGGGAGGGCTCTCCTCCCAGTCTGGCAGCGCCCTGTGCCAACCCCTCCCCTGCATTATAACCGTGCAACCCGCGCTGCCAGGTCTAAGTCCTGCCTGCCTCAGTGGAGCTGTTTGCTGGTCCTATGCCCCTTCCTCCACTAAATTGAACGCATGGAGTTTTTATCTTAAGACACATTATGGGTTACCTGGCCCAGTCCTTCCCAAAGCATTGGGAGATCTGCGGCAAGCTAATTTAGGAATGGTAATGATGGCTTCCAAGGGCAGCTTGCTCGTTGCTTTTCATATAGTATGTTTTTGTTTTGTTTTTTAAATATTTATTTGTTTTTAGAGAGAGGGAAAGGGAGGGAAAAGAGAAAGAGAGAAACATCCATCTGTTGCCTCTTGCACACCCCCAACTGGGGACCTGGGCCATAACCCAGACATCTGCCCTGCCTGGGAATCAAACCCTTGACCTTTTGGTTCGCAGGCCGAGGCTCAGTCCACTGAGCCACACCAGCCAGGACTCACATCTCATTTCTATTCCTAACAACCCTGTGAAGGGACTCTTGTTACCTGCTTTTACAGATAAGGAAAATGAGATGCTCTGAGGTTAAGTAATTTGCCCACAACAACAGGAAGGATCATGTGGTGGGATTCAAGCCCAGATTTGTTGTTTAACCTTGGTTCAAGCATCTCTTGACAAAAATTAACCTGGGTCATTTATAATTAGTTCTAATTATTAACTATTCCTTCTACTGAGCCAGAGTTTTTTAACATTCATCTTCTAGCTATGCAGGGGAAAAAAACCAAAGCTTTCTTTCAGTTGAAATTAGCAATTGAAGACCACACTCCTGCCCCTAGTTTTTTTATTGTTTTTGTTTTTCCTGCAAAAAGTCTGCATTCCACACCATTGTTACAGAGGCGGCCTCTGCACTCTGCACCTGCGGCTCCTAAGGATTCGGCTCAGTTTGCCAGAGCCCTAAAAGCCCAGCGCCTGGAGCAGAGTGCTGCGGGCTAGTCGGATGGGCTCAGATTAGCGACGAGCTCTAGCTTCCTTTACTGTGTGGGCTCTGCTTCTACAAATGTGACTTAAGACTGTGATTGCTTCCTGCCCCCTACGTCTGTCAGGAGTTAGCTGTCATTGCCATCATCCTATTCATGAAAAACCCTAAGATCCTTTCCACTGTGCCGCAGTCCCAACTCTGATAGGCTAGGTTTTCAGATCTAGATGCCACACTTGCTATTGTCCCCCTCTGTCTTTGTTAGCTTTCTGCTCGTTCTTAACTGTTGTCTGAACCCCTTATTTGGCACTCATCCTAGTCTGCCACATATTCCGTTGATTTTAGAAATCCATTCACTAAGCATGTTTTTTTTCTTTTTCTCCCACTGTCTGAGGCTAGACATAGAAAGAGGGATTAGACCAAGTTCTTACCCACTGGAAATTTGCCCAGAAAGTATGAGGACATACCTGGGCAGAAGCTTGGTGAGCTAATTAGGTGCCGCTCAGGCTGGACAGCCTCGGAGATGCTAATTGATCATCTGAGTCTAGGGAGCACTGGTTTTTCAGTCTGGATTGCATTTTGGCTCAAACTCAGCTTCACACTGGGAGTAGGAACCTGGAAAATAGGATGCAAATAATTTGCCTTAAGTGTAGGCTCATAGGGTTTGGAGATTGGTTAGCTCCACCCCCAAGAAATAACTGCACGAGATGAAGGTCCGTTAGGGTTTCCAATTACTATCTTAGGAGTCGGAAAATATGGTTCAGGGATCACTGTAGTGTTGTTTCTTTGCGACATAATTATTTTTATTGTTTTTTCTGGTAGTGATTAGGAGCAAAACCACTAAAAAGAAAAGAACTTTCATGTTCTGCTTGGAATAGCAAAAGCAGAGGTGCTGAGTGACTGTGTCCCTCTTCAAGACTTAAGGGAAGGGGCCCAGAGGGTATAGCGAGGGGTTGGGAGCTAAGAAGAGAGGGGCGTGGTTTGAGTCCCTGGCATCTGCCCTAAGGAAGAGAGGTAGGAGGTGTCTGGGGCCTGAGCAATAGAAAGACCCACAAGATGTTCTCAATGAGGAGACCAAAACATGCCCACGACAGAACAGCTGGGACAAACATTTATGTGGGGAGGTCCAGGACAGGGGAGCTATGTCGGCCTGGGGGGAGATTAGGAAACATTTCCAAAAGGAAGTGGCCCTCAGTCGCAGCCCTGAAAGATCCGTTAGGAGGGGAAAGAGGACTCTTTGAGAAGAGACCCCATCGTGAGCATAATGAGGAGGTCGGCAAACGGCCAGTAGGTTGATCACAGCAGTGAGAGGTTTGCTGGGACCAGGCGGGCGGTGACACTGGCACACGTGGGTAGAGCAGCGGCCTTCGTACCATGCGAGGGCCCGAGTGTGTCTCCTCTGTCAGGCCCTTGGGGACAGGTACTCCATAGTGTCTGCCAGTGACAGTAGGTGCTCAGTAAATGTTCTGGCACTGGTGTCCTAGACAGGCTCCTTTTGGAAAGGAAACCAAACCAACCCAAGTGTCACGAGGGGAAGGGGCGCGGTCGCAGGCTATGGTCTCCCAGATGTCCAGAGAGGCCGAACCAAGCCAGGGAAACGACAGCATCACAAACAAAGCCAGCCTCGTCCCTGCTCTCTCGCTCATCTGTTCATCCCTTTCCCCAGCTGGCTCTCTGCTTTTGCTCATTGTCTGTATTCCTTTGTGGCTTTTCTTATGTGGGACCCCTATGCCTGCTCCAGCTCTGACTCTGTGATCATTCATCTTTTGGATGAAAAGCTGAGGAAGGAATCGGCTCATAATTTTGAACAATGCCCTGAGGCATAGGCTATTGGCCAGGCTAGATTGTCCTTTAGTCAGGGGCCCTTCATAGTCCTGTCTTGTGGGGGGACGGGGATGGGCGAAAAGAACATTAATGGCACAGTGCGTGACCACCTGCATATGTCCTGTAGCGATGCCTGTGAAATGGTTAGAGCTGTGTTTCCCCAACACAGCTGGCTCACAAATTCTGCTGTTTACTGAATGCTTTTTTATGTGCTAGGCAGTGAAGACTCATGGGCCAAAAAAAAGGAAAATGGTTTATAACAGGATCTAGTACCTGCATAGAGTAACAACTGAGTTATAATTTGAGCATTTCTAATACTTTTCTTGGGAATTACCTAATTCCGTTTGACTAGATAGTTATTAGGGCCAGGAAGGTGATTTCAAAGAAGATCCTTGATAAGTTAATGGTCCAGCTCTAGACTAAACAGCATTCTTACTATCTTTGTGAACTTACCTTCTGTTTATCTCTTTGTCTGAACCCAGTGAACTTCAGGTGTACCTGGATGCCTTCGGGCAGTCTCACTGCTCAAAAAAAGGTGGCACCTGAAGTGCACTTGACTGTACTGCAAGGCAGGGAGACGTTCATTTCTTCTTTCAGCCATTTTTTCCCCATTTATCACTGATGCAGCATCTTCCTGTCCTAGGTGCTGGAGATACAGAGATTACAAGGCCCTGTTCTAGGGGACCCTCCGTCCAGTAGGAAAAACAGATGAGGGCGGGTTTGGGAGGAGCGGCCCCTCAGGCCGAGGGGCAGCGTTTGCAGACCGCACAGGTGTGGGAAGGTAGATTGCCGCGGGCGGGCGGTGGCTGCTAGTGGGCAGGAGTCAGATTCGAGAGTGTCTTACATTTCATTGCACGTTATCCTGCAGGGCGGGCATCAAAAGGCAAGAAGAGTTGAGAGTTTGGGGTTTTTTGGCCTTTTTTTTTTTTTAATCCTCACCCGAGGATATGTTTATTGATTTTAGAGAGAGAGGAAGGGAGAGAGAGAGACACTGACATGAGAGAGAAACATCGATTGGTTGCCTCCCGTACACACCCCAACCGGGGATCGAATCCACAACTTAGGTATGTGCCTTGATCGGGAATCGAACCCGCAACCTTCTGGTGTACAGGATGATGCTCCAACCAACCGAGCAACCTGGTCAGAGCAACAGTTGAGAGATTTAAGCATGGAACTTAAATGGTCAGTTTGTACTTAGAAAGATCGTGCTGGTGGCTGTGTGGAGGATGGATAGAGGGTAGAGATGATTTGTGTTGGGGAGGGCATTTAGGAATCTATCGTAACAACTGCGGCGATGGGAAGCAAGCCTGCACTAAGGGAGTAGCGGTGGGGAAGGGTAGAAGAGATGGCTAGAAGATGTGGCAAGAAGGATAGGTAAGTTTTTAAACTTTATTTGAAGTGCCAAAACACTTACTCAGTCCAGAAACTCTTCTGATTATTGATTGACTCTTTATTTTTGGCCAAGAAAACAATCCCTTAAAATGTTTACCTCTTTTTTTTAAAAAAATATTTATTTATATATTTTTAGAGAGGGGAAGGGAGGGAGAAAGAGAGGGAGAGAAACATAGATGGGTTGCCTCTCACATGCTCCCAGCCGGGGACCTGGTCCGCCACCCAGGCGTGTGCTCTGACCAGGAATCAAGCCCGTAACCTTTTGGTTCACAGACCAGCGCACAGTCCACTGAACCGCACCAGCCAGGGCTAAAATGTTTACCTCTTGCTTCTTTGTACAGCCTGTTAGGAAACTGGAAGATGAAGCTTTCTGGAATTCACACATTAGCTGATTGTCACTCATTTTTGTTTAGTCCTCCTAATTGACTTTCTACATTCCCTTGCCCTTCTCTGATCTCATTGCCAGTAATTTTGTGTGCCTTCGGGCTGGTTACATAGTAGTGCTTTTGGCCTGGTAGCTTTGTTAGGTAAGTAGGACCCAGTTCAGCCATGAGATAACAACGTTTTGCTTTCCTGTTTAGATTGAAAGATGATGACAGTGGGGACCATGATCAGAATGAAGAAAACAGCGCACAGAAAGATGGTGAGAAGGAAAAAACAGAACGAGACAAAAGCCAGAGCAGCAGCAAGAGGAAGGTGAGTTTCGTGCTGCACAGAGATGGTTGCCTTGCGACCCAGACGTGGTCATCTCATGGAGGTTGTCTGAGTAACATCCGATTTTGTTCTCCAGAAAGACTGTGGAATCACTAGCGCTTTCCCCTCAGCACAGGACCTTGAGATGTGCCCTGGCGTCTGGCACTCTCCTGGCCTGAGGTGGGAGAATAACCCTGGGGTTAGCGGGGCTGTTACCTGCCTCATAGGCTGCTGCTATTTCACATCCTGCACTTCCCTTGAAATTTTAGACTCCTTAGTCAGTAATAGTCTAAACTCAAATTGACTTGGAAAAGAGAACATTTAGAGAATTATAGATAGATGGGTAAACTTCTTCAAAGATCAAAGCAGCCATGGCTGGTGTGTCTCAGTTGGAGTGTCATCCCGTAACCGGGGGTGTCCAACCTTTTGGTGTCCCTGGGCCACACTGAAAGAAGAAGAGTTGTCTTGGGCCACATATTAAATACATTGCGACACGTAATCTCACACACACACACACACACACACACACACACACACAAAATCTCCTCACGCTTCAAGTGAATTTACGATCCTGTGCTGGGCTGCATTCACAGCCGCCACGGGCTGGGTGCGGGCCGCGGGCCGGACACCCCCGCGGCCTTTGGGTCAGGGCCCGCGCCTGGGCTGCACATTCAGTCAGCAGTGGGAGTGCCTATGAGAGGCAGCTGATTGGCTTTTCTCTTCCTCCCTTCCCTTCTCTCTAAAAAACAAAATCAATCAGCATGTTCTCGGGTGAGGAATTCTAAAAAATCAAAGCAATCATTATTGCTTTGTTCAACAATATTGAGTATTTTGTAGATACAGGTATTTCAGGTGTTATGGGGACACAAAGGCAAATGAAACTGTGGATCAAGGAGATAACATTTAACAGGGGTGATAATAACAGTTGCTGGCGTTTATTGAGTGCTTACTGCGTGCCGGCCAGTGTGCTACGCCCTTTATGTCTGTTAATTTATTTGATCCTCTCAGCACCCCTCTGCGATGATTATTATTATTTACCCCATTTTTGAGGTAAGTTGCTGAGGCACAAACAGGTTAAACAACAGCTTGCCCCAGGTCACTGGCCAGTAAGTGAGAGAGTGTCACAGAGGAGGTGGTGCTGGCCCTGGGAGTGTCGGGATAAGGTACAGACACAAATACTTACGTTATGAAGTAGGAAGTTACAAAAGCCATCAGCACAGAGATGAAATGTTACAGGAACTTAGAGTCAGTTCACCAGTACAGCAGTTTCATGTGTAAGCAGAATCCTGGGCACACTGCAGGTAGTGCACTGGGGAGGGAGTACGGGGCGATGCCATATGTGTGTTCTCGATGTCAGAGCATGTGACGAACGGCCAGGACTGACATGCCTTCTGTCACTCGCAGGCTGTTGTCCCCGGACCAGCAGAGCACCCGCTGCAGTACAACTACACGTTCTGGTACTCCAGGAGGACCCCCGGCCGGCCCACCAGCTCGCAGAGCTATGAGCAGAACATCAAACAGATTGGCACCTTTGCCTCTGTGAGTGCTTAGTGAGCCTCCTGGTGCATTCATGCCGGTGTTACTGTGTTTCTTTCTCATCCTGATAACCCCTTTAGGATTCTGGTTTCCTTAGTCAACGGACCTGAGTCTCTCAGGTCAGATTTGGTCATTCTTGGGTTTCTCATTATAGATCTATGGGTAACTAGTATGAGAATTATGGAATTACTCAGAAGGGGGCAATTAAAAAATGCATGTTTGTTTAAGTAGATATTTATTGAGTCCTTACTATGTGCAGTGTCTGGGGATGGAGGTGCAAAATTTTATGGTACATGATATCCTCACAAAGCTTGATGGTTAAGAGTAAAGTTCAAAAGATTCTTTTGTATTTTCTAAAATATATTTTTCTAAGCTTTTATTTATTTATTTTTAAAGGGGAAGGAAGGGAGAAAGAGGGGGAGAGAAACCTCGATCGGTTACCTCTCACAAGCCCCCAGCTGGGTACATGGCCCACAGCCCTCTCGAGTTGCCTCCGAATCAGTGCCTTTGACTGGGGGCATGTGGACTCAAATGGTCAGCCTGGGTCATGTATTCTTTCCCACTGTCGGGGCAGAAAATGTGACCGGCAACCCAAGGGAAGAGGCAGAAATCAGAAAAAGCTATCGCTGTCACACTGCCACCACCCAGAAATTTGCAAGAGCCACTCAGAGTTAAAATGACATAAAAATGTTAATTTCCTTTAAAAAGATATATTATTGTAGACTCAATGATTCATCAAATAATTCACATTTTGTTTCCCCCTTTCACAGTGGGAAAAAGGACAAAATCATTAAAGAAAAACATTGATCATTTTCTCTATTTCACTTTTAAATATTCTTACCTTCTCTCCTTAGCTTTTCTAACAAACTTGTCACAAAAATTTGCAGTTGTCATTTGGTTTCACAGTCTCCACCTGCTGTGTGAGATGCTTCTAAGGCGAGACGGACACTGCCTCTGACCCAGCTGTGCCTACACAGTGTCTGGCTGAAAGCAGGTTTTCGGTAGCGGCGTGGAAGCGAGTGCGTGGAACGCACCTGCCTGTCTGGAGGGGCCAAGGCTCTGGAGAGCGAGGGAGCTGGAGTTTCACTGCTCATTTTGTTGAAGTTGGAATCGGAGCTCTGTTATCTTCCTATCCCAATTTAGGGTTTAAAACATTTTTTTAAAGATTTTTAAAAAATTATTTTTAGAAAGGGAAGGGAAGTAGAAAGAGAGGGAAAGAAACATCAGTCAGTTGCCTTTCGTGTGCACCCCCGACAAGGGACCTGGCCCGCATCCCAGACATGTGCCATGACTGGGAATTGAACTAGTGGCCTTCGGTTTTAGGACAATGCCCAGTCCACTGAGCCACAGTCAGGACAATTCTTTTGTATTTTGTATAACTTTCTGTTAGGGTTTTGGATCTATTACTGATTATGTGTATAGAGTAACATCTTTTTCCTGTCTTCAGAAAGGAAAAGAAATCTCTAGTTATTGTTTTTGTGGGTGCTGCCAGAACAGGGAGCCCAGGCTCTGCCTTGTCTCCCTCACAGGTCTGTGCTCCCTGAGGACATGTGTGCAGCGCGCACTGGTCTTGTTCAGTGAGCATTACTGTGGGCTTGCTGCGGGCCGTGCCTTCCATCTCAGGGCCGAATCAAATGTGGAGTTGGTTATTGTCTTGAAATTATGGGGTTATCGGCCCTGTTTAAAAAGCAGACGTAGAAAAGGAAACCCCGCGAGACAGTAAATGTTACAATAAAGCAGTGAAGAGTAAGGACACAGTACTAGCCACTCTGTATGACGTCCTTGAAGCTTCGGGACAGCCCCGTGAGGTCAGCAGTGTTATCCATATCTTACAGATGAGAAAAGTGGGACTTGGGTTACGTATCGGACCTCAAGTCTCCAGTCAGCTGTAATTTACTTGACTAAGTGGAGGAACCGGCGTGGGCCCCGAGGGGGCGACCGTGAGCGCTGCGCCCCCAAGCCCGTGTTCCTTCACTCCTCCAGCACAGCAGCGGGCCTGGCGCGAGGCTCTGATCCTTAAAATGTTTGCTGCCTGGACAAGCTGTGTGTATTTATCCATTTGTTATTAATCAGATATAACTGGTGATCAGGTCATCTGATTACTATGGGAGAGTAGATAAACGCTCCCTCATCGCTGGTAAATTTAGGCTCTTTTGAAAAATTAAAAATGGCTTGTACACTGGAGGATATTTGGTTCAAGGAATGTTTGTTGAATGAGTTCAGGGCACTACTGGGGTTCTAAAGTGAATCAAGACCTTGCCTTCAGGGCGGTAGGACGTGATTAGGAATTTCCAACACAGGGAGACAGAGTGCTGTTGGGAAGAACTGTGGGGTCCGTGTCTGCGTGCTGTTTTTGTAAATGACCCGGGCAGTTCAAACCTGAGTTGTTCAAGGGTCAGCTTTATTCCAAGCCATTCTGAATCTGTCACAAAAGTTTGGGGGTTTTCTTTACCATTTTTTAAAAGATTTTATTTATTTATTTTTAGAGAGGGGGGAAGGGAGGGAGAGAAACATCAGTGTGTAGTTGCCTCTTGCGCACCCCCTTCTGGGGGACCTGGCCTACAACTCAGGCATGTGCCCTGCACTGGGGATCGAACCAGCGACTCTTTGGTTCTCAGGCCAGCGCTCAGTCCACTGAGCCCCACCAGCCAGGGCTGAATGTGTCACAGAAGTGTTGTTACCTATTGCGTGGGAATGCTAGACGTTACAGTAAAATGGCAGCCTCTGGGTCACGAGCAAGTGGTTGAGCACTGGAGGATCAGAGAGGACGCCGACCGGGTTGGGGAGCAAGCTTTCGCTCGGGACCCCGCCCAGTGATCCTGTGGTAACCACGGGTCTCTCTGGCTGCTTCCTTTCCCTCTCAAGGAAAGCACCGTTCACCCACCTGGGGAAAAGAAGGGTGTTTCTTTTCTTCTCTGGAGCACGTGTGCTACGTTGACGAGAGCTTATCGTTAGCGTCATCTTGGGCCAGTTCTCCTTCAGTCCCCACTGGATGGGCGACGGTGTTTCAGGTGCCCTGCTGTGTAATTCAGGGCAGTAAGAGATGCCTCGCAATGTTAAATCCCTCACAGAGAAGTAATTACATTGTGAAACCCTTTATTAAATCAAAGCAGTATTTCCCACTTGTCCTTAATCCTAGTATTTAACAGCATGTAGAAGTTCTTGGGATCAGGTGACTCAGAAGGCAGTGGTTGAACGTGGAAAGAGCGTTGGACTTGGGGGCCACGAGGCTCTCTCTTCTGGTGCTTGACTCTGTGGGTGGGGACAGGCTCTGACACCAGGTGCTCAACTGTTCAGGAGGAAGGCCGTTCTGAGGTCTTTTCTGCACCCCACTAACTAACGCTGAACACTTTTTTTGTTTCAGTTAGGAGTTTCCGAAACCAAAATTGCCTAAAGAAAAGGGGGAGGGGGACCTTCCAAAGTTACTGAACATTTCTTGAGCTGCTTGCTTCACCTTTCATGGTTTAGATGTGAGGTTGCGACTGTAAAGTTGTGTAGCCTGGCTGTGAGATTGGAGAAGATTAAGCCCTGAATAAAGCAGTGCCTGACTGAGGAAATGGGGGTGGTTTGCGTACCTTTCTCCCCACTGCCCCTCTCCAAGTCCCAGTTCACAGCGAGCCCCAGTTTCTACTGGGTGTACTTTCTTTCTCTCCACTCGTGCAGGTGGAAAAAGCTGACTGCTCGTCATACACCTGGACCACTTACTCCCCCAGGTCGCCTTGGACAGCGAGGCATCGTGGTTGCTGAGATGGGACACTGCATTAAAGGGCTGCAAGAGGCACTCATCCCTGACTAGTCTGTCACATGAGGCACTGCCTGGGTTCCTGTCCTGTAGAGGAACTGGAGGGACCTCCGTCTCGCACAGAGGGAGGTCTCCTCCCCAGTCGCTCTCCAGGTCTAGAAACGTGGCCTGCACCTCTGTGCTCAGCGCCCATTTTCAGCCGCACAGCCCTGGTGTCGCGCTGTGTGTTTGTTTAGAGCCTTCTGAGCAGCGTGTTGGCGGACACCAGCTCTTTCTCTCCAGGCTGGTCCACATCCGCTCCTTCTACCTGAAGCGTGCCTCTCCCCAGCCGGTGCTCAGTAGGGGTGCCCTGTGAGTCACAGAGGAATCGGGGAGCAGCCCTTCCCGCAGTGTGCCGCTGAGGAACGGGACTCGCGCTAGCAGAGAGGCGCGTCTGCTCCCCCAGAGGGCCACGGCGGGGGGAAGGAGTACCGCGAGCATTCTGGCAAAGAAGGGGCCTGCCCAGGACAGGCTGGCGACTGCCGCTGTGGGCACAGGGAGGGGACCGGGCGGGAAAGGTGAAGGGATCGAGAAGCACAAATTGGCAGTTACAGAACAGTGACGGGGACGGCAAGGACAGCACAGGGAATGTGGCCAGGACACTGTAATGGCTGCGTCTGGTGCCAAGTGGGTGCTGGAAGTATCCAGGGAGCACTTTGCAAGGTGTATGACTGACCGCTGTGCTGTACACCCAAAACTAATGCAAAAGAACATCGAGGGTCAGCTGTCATGGAGATGCATGAAGAGGGATTTAAACCCTAAGCATGAGAGGCTGAGTCCCACTTGCTTTTGGAATGTCCTGGCCTCAGTGAAGGCGCCCTGGTGCGGCGTCGTGCCTGGGGTTGGTGCTGTCACCAGGCTCGGTAGCTAAACAACTGAAACGTATTTCACTGTAGCTAATGCGGTAGTTGAGTAAACGGTCTTTGATCAAGAGGGAATTGATTCTAAAAAATATAGTCAAGACTGAGGTTATGCCCTGGCTGGCGTGGCTCAGTGGATTGAGTGCCAGCCTGCGAAGCAGGGTGTCACCAGTTCGGTTCCCGGTCGGGGCACAGGCCTGGGTTGCAGGCTAGGTGCCCCGTAGGGGGTGCGTGAGAGGCAACCACACATTGATGTCTCTCTCCTTCTCTTTCTCACTCTCTCCTGCTCTGTCTAAAAATAAATAAAATCTTTAAAAAAAAAAAAAAAAGAGACAGGTTATGTGGCAGGACTGAAGGGTTTCTGTTGGGTGAAACAAGGCCCCACAGCAGGTCCTGGTTGTCGCGCGGCCTCCGTGAGAGAGAGGGCTTGTCGACGGACAGACTGCCAGCAGCGGCTGGCCGAGGCGGGCGTTTCTCTCCCAGAGGGTGGGTCTTACAGCAACAACATTGCATTTCTATTTACCCAGCTTACCATGTGCTTTTGTGTAGCATGCCTGTCCTCCCACACAAGCCTCCAAATGAAAATGTATCCTTCAGAAGTGTAGCCTGAAACAGTGTGTCTTCCATGTTTGTGCTTTTCCCTTAGGTAAGTCTTGTGTTCATTCATTCAGAAAAAAGGAAAAGTCACATCTTTTGTCCCCTGGGGCCTTCTCTTCACAGGTGGAGCAGTTCTGGAGGTTTTACAGCCACATGGTACGTCCCGGAGACCTGACAGGCCACAGTGACTTCCATCTCTTCAAAGAAGGAATCAAACCCATGTGGGAGGTGAGGGCTGAGGGCCTCGGACTGCTTTTCTGAGCAAGTGGGTTTTTTGTTTTGTTTTGTTTTTTAGCCTTGCCAAGGTTTAAAGTGTTTTAAAGTCTTCTCTCAAAACGGCATCCCTGTTTGGCACACCTCCGTAGAACTGGGACCCCCAGGAAAAGACACAGTGCCATCTCTTGTCTGGGGGGTTGGTGCTGGGTGGGGTGTCCTAATGACATTAGAGAACTGTTTTTCTTAAGTTACCCTTATTCCTGTAGAACGGGCTGTGTGTGTGTTACAGTACCATGGTGCACTTACGATCAAAGTGGGTAAAAACTAAGCTTACAGAAAGTAACTGGAGACCCAGAGCTGCGCTTTGTGATCTCTTTGCTTTGCTGAACTCCTTCTCTATCCTGATGCCGTGGTGTTTTTCTAGAAGAGAAGTGTGATCACACCTCCCCCCCCCCCAATTTAAAAGGTTACGCAGCCCTCCGTTGCTCACGTGCCCTGGCAGCTCGTTGGCCCCGCCTTGCACTCGGAGTCTGCGCCCGGACAGGCGGCCCCTTGGGGCCCAGCTCAGGCGTCGCTCCCTCCTGGGTGCTTCCGCCAGTCTTGCTCTTGAACTTGCTATGCACAGCGGTACCCGCAGACTGTGCTGCTGTAGCTAATGTTCCTGTCTGTCTCCTTGACTGGGTGGGGTCTGGGGGAGACTGTGGCTTCCTGCCTGTATTTGTGACATGGTGACACTTGGTAAATTCATGGCAAATAAAGTGAGGAATGACCTCTGGATGAAATCTGACATCACTTCGATTCCTAAAGTAGTTTCCAAAAAAGGATTCTTTTGAAAGGGTCTGTTGAGTCATTTTTTGTAATGGCTTGTGTCAGGATCCCCACTTTGTTCTTCTTTTCTATCTCTTCTCTCCCTGCCACCATTTTTCCTATAAAGTTGAATAATCGGAAAGTGACAAGACCTTTAGGGATCATGCCAGAGGAAAAAGAGCTGTGAGACTGTATGTTAACTTTATTGCTTTCTGTCTTTGTACAGGATGACGCGAATAAAAACGGCGGCAAGTGGATCATCCGGCTGCGGAAGGGCTTGGCGTCGCGCTGCTGGGAGAACCTCATCCTGGCCATGCTGGGGGAGCAGTTCATGGTCGGGGAGGAGATCTGTGGGGCTGTGGTCTCCGTGCGGTTCCAGGTAGGCCTCCCGCGGGCGGGTCTGGTGTCACGGGCCGCCTCCCCCGCACCCCCTGGGCTGGCTTTGATGAGCCCTCTGTCCCTCCTGTAGGAAGACATTATTTCCATTTGGAACAAGACTGCCAGCGACCAAGCCACCACAGCCCGAATCCGGGACACTCTTCGGCGAGTGCTTAACCTACCTCCCAACACCATTATGGAATACAAAACCCACACCGACAGCATCAAGTACGTGTTGTGGGGGTTGGGGGGGACATATCCCTGAGCTTAGCAGAAGTAGGTTCTTAGTCGGGTCCAGAGGAATAGGGTCGCACAGGAGACTGACTTCTGGAGAAGGGACAGACCAGTCTTCCCCTCTAGTGCTTCTGGCCACCTGTAGCAGCTCTTTGCTGGTGAGGCTCCTGCACATGGCACCGCAGCAGAGAGCCCCTCTGCAGAGCCCCAGCCGCAGTGCCTGCGCTGGCTTTCCGTGCACGGGCCGGCTTGTCTTTCATTGGCTGTTCAGCTGCTGTCTTGAAGTGAAAGACAAAGGGCTCTTCCTTTTCCTGCCATTTTTTAAGGAAACTTCACTGAACAAGAAAGGCCTTCCTGTCTGCTCCTGCCCTCACTTTTGCACGTCTCTTTAACCTCTTAGCTTCTGTCTGTTTCTGTGTCCTGGGAAATTAACTTCTCATCCGGAACGTGACTCCATCTCCTTGTATGCAGAGCTGAAAGCCTAGAGGAAGCAGAATAGCATGTCTGTGAGGGTAGCATCTCAGGGAGGCACGGACGCCAGTGGGGATGTAAGCTGGGCCTCGTGCTCTGCCTAGGACGCGGGGCAGCGGAGCTGGGTGTCCACGCACGGGAGTCACCAGGTGGGGCAGTGAGTGAGCCTCAGCTACAGCCAGGCCACTCGGAAGGGGTTGTGGGGAGCGGCTCTTAGATTTTCTCAGAACTGGTGGAGAGCTAGCCAATGAGGAGTCGGGACTTTTAGGTTCAGTTTTCTCCTTTGACTCCAGTATCAGAATGTGCCTTTGGCAAGTCTCTGCCACTCGGCCTCAGTTTCCCTATCTGTAAGATGGGGAATAATGATACTTCATCTAACAGGGTTGTCGGGGGGCTCATTGAATCTCTGTAATAGAAGGTCCTCAGAAGGAGACTGCTCTCACAGGGCCAAGTATTATCATTGCTATCATCATCATCATTAGAAATGATATCATCATAACGTTGTTAAAGACTAGTAATGAGCCCAGTGGTGGTGTTCAGCAGACAGACCATCTGCGGGAGTCTCTTCCGCAGGTGTTCGCAGATCACGTTGTGGGTGGAGTTAGCTAAGACTAGCTGAGGTCCTGTTCTTCGCTGGGAACACAGCGATAGGAGTTGGTCCACAATCTGACGGCTGGGTGTGGCTCATCGCAGCCCTAGGAGTTCCCAGCTCGCAGCTGCCTGGCACTTGCCTCGGCCGCCCTGTGAGAGCTCCGTTTCCTCTCAGCAAATGCTGCCTGTCCGTTGTTCTGAGGGTAGGCGTAGCTTCTGCCCTCCAGCCAGGTGCAGTGCAGGTTGGACACCTGCTTTTTCTAGGGCTCTTCCGTTCAAGGTTCCTAAACTACCTCCCATTTCTGACCACCCCCCACCCCCAGAAAAGCAAGCTTTTCACCTGGATAGGAAAGGGAAAGAGGTATTTTTCAGCTCTCCCTGCTCCACTGTTCTCCCTCTCATACCCTGAGGCAGTTCTTCCTGACTTGTAGAAATGTGTTCAAGTCCTTACAGAGCCTAGGAGAGCCTGTGGGCTTTTGGCCTTAGTCTGCTGCTCACTGCTTTACCCAGAGGTCTGCCTAGTACTCTAGCCCTGCAGCGACAGGGACGAGAAAACCCTCCTTGACACCCAGATGCTACTTTCCCTTGCGTCTCCCTCTTGTTCCTCTCCCAATGTGCCGACCTTTTGCACTTCCACTAGAATGCCAGGCAGGCTGGGCCCCCCAAGGCTCCTTTTTCAAAACCTCTGGAAGCCGCGGTTGAATGGGCCATGACCCTCTCCCTGTCTGGATGGCACCATCATTGAAGCTGGCATCATCGGAGTCTCTTGCTCTGTTGGCGTGCTACCTGGAAGATCCTTCTGTCCTGGACAAGAGGAATTGGAAGAGCATTTTATGTTTTAAGAACAGGCTGACACGCAGCAGCTACGACATCAGCTGAGATCACTTAATAAATGGTGCTAAACTAGCTTGTCTCATGCTCTTGCTCTTTCTGGCGCATCAAAGAAGTGGCTTTTCAGACTGACTGTCACCCTGTTAAGGAATGGCACAGACTTCTCCATGGAGGGCCATCGGGGGAATGCAGCCTCATTTCCATAAGCCCAGTTGTACAGTGTCCCGTGATATTTTGTTCCACTTCTGCTGAGGTCTGACATAATGATGTGACATCTAACTCAACATGAGACCCCATTTTCCGGTACTTGAATTTTAGTTTCCATCTAGCCACGCTGATTAACAAGAACAGGGTGATTTCTGACGTAGAGTTCAGCTGGAAGGTTGTTAAGGTTGGAAAGGGGGATCCTTGGCCTTTGCTTTGCTGACTTTGTTTGCCTTTACTTCAGAGAAATCTCTTGCTTGGAGGTAAAGTCCTGCTTCTGTCTGTGTGTGTCTGTACGTTCGTAGCGTCCTCGCTTGGTGCTGACGGGTGTTCTCGCTGCCAGAGCTGCCCAAGCCCCAAGCTGCCTGCCAGCCTCCCCCTTGCGCTTTCCCCGTAGAGCCAGGCCGTTGTCCTCTTTGAGCGGGCTCTGCTGGCAGGGTCTCCAGGGCCGAGCCCTTGCCTTCCTCCCAGGCTGCCAGCCTCAGGAGCCAGGGCGGGGCGCCATCTTCATCCTCTGTGAGTTGCTCCTCGGGGGGTCTGACTGTAGCGCGCGCCAGTCCCTCCCATGCTTCGTGGCCTGGCTTGTGTGGTCCGCAGGCCCTAACCTGCATGCACGGTTGCAGCGAGCCTCATGTTACTTTAGGCTTTCTTGGGCGCTCCCACCCAAACCAAAAGTAAACGTTTCTGCAGCCCCTGGGTCAGGTGGCCCAGTAGCATCTGTGAAGGTGGCTGTGGGCGTCACATGGAGGTTTCCAAAGTGGCCGTTGCATTGGCAGCGACACCCTGGGCTTATACCATCCCGATGGACCATCAGTCTCCACGTGGCCCAGGACCCCACGGAACACGGTTGGGAGCAGCACCCTGGGCTCCGCCCTCGGGAGGAGTTTGTATCATTGCCTCTTTGTTTATTGCATACACAAAAGTGGCCAAAGTACCTAGAAAATGGGAAATGTGTTGGTATGTGGAAGTGCCTGTTCTCTGCTTTCAGCATTTGTCAGTGACCTCTATGGCCTTTTTGCTCTTGCCTCCACTAGTATGTGACGTGTATTGGCCTTACTTTCGGCTCATATAACTGGTCCAGGGGATGAGTGTAACGTCACCTTCCTGAGCCAGGGTTGATCGGAAAGCACCAACCTGACCTTGAGGCCCCCCCCCGATCCTTGCCACACATGAGCAGACGTCAGAACTGTCCTGCTTCATGCCTTTCCTTGTGGCTCTCACACAAGGATGGCTTTGCTTGAGCCAAGGGGCAGCAGCTGCTGGGACTTGAGGATTAAGGGAGATGAAGGGAAAGAACATCCTGGAGAGTAGCCGCGAGTACCCTGGGAACGAGGAGGGGCTTCTTTGGGAGCGGCCTCGCTTTCTCAGTCAGACGCGCCTCCCCCTCGCTGCGTTTCTGTCCAGTCTCCAGTGTGCTGTTTCCGACTGCTCGGTTTCTCCGGCCTGTCCCCAGTCACACCGCTGGGGGCCTTTCCCTGCTGCGCTTGCGCTGCTAGGAAAGCTGAGGGGCAGGCACTGCCGCGCTCAGCACCCAGGCTGCTCGGCTGCAGAGGGGCCGCCTGCCTGCTGCCTCCCGCCCTTGTGCTGCCAGCAGTTGGCCCCTTCAGGCGTACAGCTCCTGTTGAAAAACGGGAGGCTTGTCAAACTGAGGGTTCGCTTAGGTGCATGGCTCCTTTGAAGGAAGCCCATTGCGGCTGAGGATTTATAGGTCTGGGTCCATGGAGGCATCTGGCGACTCGCTGTGTCCTCCGCTTTGAGATGCAGCCTCCTAACAGGCAGACATGCAGTCTGGAATCATGGGACCACCCAGATGAAACTGGGCCCAGAGCCTGTGCAGCAGCACTGCCTTGAGGTAGCCCTTGGGAACAGTCCCATGGGTCCCTTTGGGCACCTGGCCTGGAACAGAAGCGGGGAAGACAGGGCCAGCCTCACTCAGTGGGCCACAGGGGTGGGGGAACCGGCCAGGCCCCTCTGCAGAGAGAGTGGAGGGTAGGTGATTTCTCTCTATTTCTTTATCCTGGAGGAGAAACGGGTCCAAACATGGGGACTTTCCTTAACCTTGTCTAGATTGCATTGTACTTAAACACCGAGCCCTGTAGACAAGGGCCAGTCACTCCCTCTGTTGTGGTGAAATGATAGCCAGGTGGCTCTGGGTCACACCAGTGTAATTGCTGGCCCGCTGATGAAATGTCCCCCCTGCCGATGTTCACAGTAAAGAAAGCCTAGGCTAACAGGAGGCCGAGCTTGTCCGTGAGTATCGAGGGCCAGCTGAGGGCAAGGCTGTGAACCAGGGCCAGGGGGCGCGGGGCAAGTTGAGTCACAGGCTCTCTGCTCTCAAGAGTTTGCTTTCCGGTAAGTGAGCTGAAATGAGCGGTCTTTAAAGGACTCTTAACTCTGTCATCTGAATTTGTTCAGAATTTCCTGTGGGCTATATTAATCTTGGTCATTTTTTTTTTTAAGCTTCATTCATATGATACTTTTAACATTTAACTTTTTTTTAACCTTTAAAAGAAGCAAGTTTTAATATTACTTTCTATGCCTGAGATGCCAAATGGAAACTAGCTAGACTCTTCTACCTGGCTTTAGGTAGTTGATTTGCTCTTAGCCAAGCATAAGCGTGATTGTACCAGTGACTATGACCAACTATTTTATTTTCACTGAATCCATGTGAGGAAATTTCTTCACCCAGATTCTTTATGTTGAGGTTTAACATGAGGACAATACTTCTGAAGAAAATGGGAGAACAGTTTAATGCTGGAATGGATTAGGGGGGACCTCTGAAATCTATCTATCTGTAGGTTCTTGACACAGAACTGCTCAGTTGGGACTAGTGTAGGCCTTGCTAGAAACAAAAGGATAAATGAGATGACGCTTCTGCACAACCATGTCATTTCTTGTGGACATTTAATACTTAAAATAGAATTCAAAGCTCACTGTTAAAATGAGAGGGGTTTCCTGGGTCATTGCCCCAGCATCGGATTCTGCTTTGCCCTTGACTTAACTCGGAGTGAAGAGTGAAGTGGCCTTCTGACGTCACACGTGGACTCTCAGAGCTCATCCCTGCACGGCCATGGCCAGAGCGGGCAGTGGGACAGATGTCTCGCTGTGGAAACTGGGACCTGACAGACTGGCGTGTTTCTTCATTTAATTAGCACATATGTGTAGCTTTGGTGCTACTGGCCGAAGAAACCATTCGCTGCACACCCGCTCCTTGTTCTGAGAGGCCGAGCATTGACGTATAAGTGCTCCTTCTCAGAAGAGGGAGATCCTGACGAAACTCCCTTCAGTGTTGCCTGTAAGACTGAATTTGTTGTGCCAGGTTTCTGTATTTAATCCCTCCCCCCACTATTTAAAAAGGAGAAAAGCTACCTATAGAAGTCCTGGTAAGAAAGTGTATTTTAGTGGCCATAATCTAAACCTGTAGTGAATGACAGAATATCATTCTGTCACCCCTAGGGACTGTCACCCCTGTAAATGAAGGAGGGAATAATTGACAAGGGAATTGCAGATTTAGAAGCCCCAAACGACCCATATATATAGTCGCCAGGGAACTTGGTAGATCTTTTGTCCCTAACGGGGCTGAAAAGTGGCCAGGATAAAAGGTAGGCCATAGCTCCTCTGAGAAAATGAGGCGTGCTCGGCTTCAGATGCGTAAAGACCCTGGTGTCTCCTGTTTTTCGGCCAGTGGCCCCCAGGGACCTCCTCTCTGGGGAGCACCGGCCCGAGCGACTGTGCCCTTCAGCCGCGCGCTCAGCCCTCCCTGACCCCCGTTTCTACATGGAGGTCATCAGCACAGAAGTTGTCACGAGCCTTGTTCCCAGGGAGTTGTGAACTGCTGTGACCTACACAGCTTAAATTTTCAGATCATTACATGGGTATATTCAGAAACAACCTGTTGTAAATTTGGGGTCTGAGGTTAAAAGAGTCAGAAGGTTGGAAATGTGAAAACCGAAAGCAACATGCAGTAGTTTCCCCCTTGTACCTTCAGACATCACAGTGCTGTTGGGCACCTGCCTGTACCCGCAAGGTGAGGCCTGATGCAGAAAGGCAGTTTTTGCCACCCGTCCCCACCTCCCTGCTGCCCTTGGCCCCAGCGAGTGGGAGGTGTCGCCCGTGATGGTGGAGCTTGGCTCTGACCTCATTGGCCTCCCGGGTAGACTTGTGGAAGGATTGGATACAAAGCCTCGAGGGAATAGTGAGTGAGGGCCAGAGTTCGCCAGCGGAGCAGCCAGGACGAGTGCCAACTGTCCCTGAAAGGCGTTGGCCCTCCCTGCAAATCCGAGGCCAAGTCCAGGTGGGAACCCTCACTGCTGTGCTTCCGGGATCGGGTGGGCTGCACTCAACCTTGAGGGTATCTGAAGTGGGGTGTGGGGTTATGTGTCTTCTCTTTCTTTGTTAAAAAGCTTTTGATCTGAATGTGCTATTGTGTTTTTTTGTCTCTGGTTTGCCAGGGCCTGGGAGGAGTTTCATGGCCTGGTGAACAGCAGCGGCCGCTGATCGGACGCTCCCCTCTGTCTCTCACACTCAGGGTAGGGCCTCGTCTGTTCTCCGTAACCCTGTGACACACCTCTCAGCCATAGGGCCCCTCTTCCCAAGGGCTGTGCTCTCCCCGTGTACCCCCGCTTTGCTTCTGCCAGCATTGAGTCTGCGCCAGCCCCTCCTCTGGCCAATGGTCACGGTCTCAGTCCAAATCTGCTGGACCGTGCTGCTCCCTGGGTCGTTTGTCTCCTGGCGAACGCCTGAGCAGGTGGCTCAGCCTCACTGGACCTCCATTTCCTCCTTTGGGAAGGGTGGTTCCATGGACTAACACGTCTCCGACCTCTTCTGATGCCAGTGTTTCATGATCATAAATGTGCCACAAATCCTTTTGCCCGCACGTGGCCATCTTTAAACCACCTGGCAGTGTCCTGTGGCCAACACGGGGTAGGTGAGAGGTACGTCTCGTTTGCCAGCGGCGGTGGTCAGTTGTGAGGAAACAGAACAGAACGCCGGGGTTTGCGCGGTGAAAGGCCTGGCCGACGCCGGGCTCCGTAGGAGAGTTCCTGGTTGTGCTGTAGCTGTGCCATCGCACGTTGACCGGCAGGGAGAGGCCCTGAGATAGCGGAGCGGGGGTAACTGACACACGTTCACGGGGAGAACATCTGTGTTTCAGCGGAGGGCATGCCAGGTTCATGTCTTGCTGCTTCAGCAGAGGACGTGGGGTGCATTTATTCCAGATGACAGGAATGGACAGAAAGACAGTGTCTGCGTGTGCTGACCTGAGAGCGGTTTCCTGGACAGTAACCACCCCTATTCCCCACCGTTCCTGCGGGACAGGGAGTTCGAAGAGTGGAACAGAACAAGCCGACTGTAGTGACTGCTTCAGAGTTCCACCTTCCCAGGGAGGAAATGAGACTTTTTCTTTCTTTTTTAAATATTTCATTTATTTATTTTTAGAGAGGGGAATGGAGGTAGAAAGAGAGGGAGAAAACAACACTGTGTGGTTGCCTCTCATGCGCCCACTGCTGGGGACCTGGCCTGCAGCCCAGACATGTGCCCTGACTGGGAATTGAACCAGTGACCCTTTGGTTCACAGGCCGGCACTCAGTCTACTGAGCCACACCAGCCAGGGCTAAAATGAGACTTTCAAGAAAAGGAGACCTCAGGTGCGCTAGACAAGAAGACGACACAGGGACAGAACAAGCGGCCAGGAGTCTGAGGACTGTGTGGATAAACAGTCCCAGAATTCTTGCACACAAGGGTGATGCCACTCCTACCTCTAATTTTACTAGTTAATTCCCATATTATAAATTTAATTTTAGATGATGATACTAGATTAAAAAAAATTTTAATGTTTATTGATTTTAGAGAGAGAGGAAGGTGGGAGGAGAGAGCGTGCAACATCTGTGTGAGAGAGAAACACCTATTGACAGCCTCCTTTATGCACCCCAACCGGGAATCGGACTCACAGCCTAGTTACGTGTCCTGACTAGGAATCGAACCTGCAGCCTTTCGGTGTATGGGATGACGCTCCAACCCACTGAGCCAGCTAGCAAGCGCTAGATGATAATACAAGATTTTTTTTAAGTTGAAGTTCAAAAGGTTACTCTGTCAAATGTAGTCAACATGGAATTCTGAGATGGCTGCTAATACACAAGGAAGGATGAAACCGCATAAGCTGTGCAATTAGATACATTGATTTGCAGACTGCAGAATAGGTATTTGAAGTAAATTAAGCCTAACTTCCAAAGGCTGAGTCTGTAATGGAATTGTTTTTTACCATATTTAATTATGTCTAAGATTTCTTTTTTGTTGTTGTTTTGCTTTTAATATCCCTAAAATTGGAATGCTTACAGTGAAAGTGATAAGGAAGATTTTTGTCATGGTCTTAATTGGCAATATTTACTTCTTAAAGTATATAAAATGATGATGCCTTTAAAAGTCAGTGGCATCAATAACATCTTAGGTTCCATGAAAAAAGGCTTTAAAATGAAATTGGAATAGTCAGAATGGAAGAGAACTTAAAATTATTCCCTGTTCCCTTAGCTAAAACTAAATCCCCCATAAAAAGTATCAGAATTGCTTTGAAAAGTCGTAGGTTTGCATGATTGCCATTTTGTAGTCTCTGTGTTTTCCCCTTTTCCCCTCCCTCCCCCATCTTTTTGTTTTTTAAGATTTTATTTGTTTTTAGAGAGAGGGGAAGGGATGGAGAAAGGGAGAGAAACATCGATGTGCAAGAGAGAAACCAATCAGTTGCCTCTTACACACCCCCAAATGGGGACCTTGCCCGCAACCCAGGCCTGTGCCCTGACTGGGAATCGAACCGGTGATCTTCCGGTCTGTAGGCTGGCGCTTAATCCACTGAGCCACACCAGCCAGGCCCCCGCCCCCCACCGTCTTTTTCATGGCCGGATGAAGGGGGCACCTCTGCTTCTTGATGCACAGACTAGGAGGTCTGTGAGAAGTATTGGAGTCTAAACAAAAAAACCAACTCACTGTCATTGGACATGAAAAGGCCTCCTTCCTGTTCGTGTGTGGCTTTGACCGTGAGGGGTGCTCCCAGGAGCCGCACACAGCCACCTTGTGCGGTCTGAGCTGCCATTCCCAACACCCCTGGCACTTGGCCTCTCGTCCTCTCTGCGTTTTCCACTTCCAAGTAGGTCATGACCTCTGAAGAAAAAGAAAGTGCTATTTCAATGGTTCTTACTGAGCCAGTAGTACTCCTCCGCAGTTTACCTGACATTTTATGCCGTTGTGTATGGCTGCTAACGCTGTACGGCCATTTCCTCTGACCCCATTGTAAATGGGCACTGCCCTTTCAGGCGTGGCCTCACCAGAGGCCCCGAGGAGCTGCTGGGAGCGGATGCCAGTTACTTCGGTGTCTGGGCTGGCGTGCGCAAGGCAGTGCTCTGTGTTTTGGGGGAATGAAGTTGGTGTGGCCACTCAGTGGGAGAGTAGACCCGGAGCAGGCTTGGGCCACACAGCTGAGAGCCAGGGAACGTCCCCTGAAGAGCGCGGGTACTTGAGCCTGCGGGCCCGGCTGTGGCTGCGCTCTCAGCCCCCGGCAGGGCCGATGCTCAGGGAGGGCACCTCCTCCGTGGCACCCAGCTCTCCCCAGAGGACCCGGAGGCTCTTTGATGCCCTGTGCTGGTGCCCGACGCAGGGGCAGGTCTCCCTAAGAACAGGAGGCTTCCTTCTGAGGGACTGACCGCCCTGCTCCTCCGCCGTCCACCCTCAGGAGCTAACTCTGCCCTAGCTCATTCTTTCCAGAGTTCGTACTTGTCCACTTCCAAGAAGAGGATCCTTTTGAGGCAGAGCAGGTTAGAAAGCTGTTTCAGATCCCTGGGCAGCGGTTGGCCCCGAGTTGCCCGGCAGTGTGACGCTGGGAGCCAGCTTTGGTGGAGCTCTGCTCGTCCTGAGCCCTGTCAGCGGACGGACGGTTGTCCAGGAGAGAAGGTGCCCCTCTAGCATTGTGGGTCCTTCGGCTCCGTGTCCCGTGCCCGGGCATGTGAACACCTGCTGGAATAAGTTAAGATACAGTGGAAATCTTGATATCCGAAAAGCCCCTTTAAATCCATACACTGGGCTCAGTTGCTTATTTTACTTAAATTCGCAGATGAGAATGTAGCTTTCCCTCTAAGTCACCTTCCATATGAGTAACAGTGAAAACCTTCCGAGGGCCCCGTGCTGTCCCAGCAGTGCTAAGGGGTGAGGGGCCCGCTTTCAGGAGCTCCCTCCGGATTTCCTAAATTTTAATTTGCTTTTAAAGGAACAGAAGCCCATCTTTTTATACAAAAACAAAAGCCGCTGATGGCCTCTGCCACTCCACGTCTCCATTTTCCTTTCCCGGCCTCCTCGCCTCTGTGCAGCGCAGCCTGGGTGAGGGACGTGACCGAGGGTCACTTCCCAGCTGGTCTGAGGTGAATGCATTCCTCAGACTAAATTTGGCACCAGGCTGTTCTCAACCCACTTTTTTTTTTTCAGAAAGGCTGGACCAAAGCCACCAAATGCCACCAGCCTGCCCCTGTCAGGAGCCTGTCACTCGCCCAGTTGCTCTTTCTCTTCCTCGACACCAGACTCGGGGAGAGCAGCTGGCTGTCCCGGCTCCTTTCCTCTCCGCGCCCCGCTCCCCTGTGGCACCCAGGCTTGGGGGCCCGGGGCTCCGTGGGCCTCTGCCTCTGCCGCGGCCTGTGGCACGGAGATGGTGAGTGGGCGTGCGGAGCCCCTCAGCTCACCTGCCACGGGGGCCTCTGTGTCTGGCCCACCCAGCACAGGGCAGGAACTCCTCCCGAAGGTGGCCACTGCTTACGTCCCCAGGCAGTGGCCGGGGCGGAACGGGCCCTGGCGGACCTCTCTCTCACTCTGAGACAGACCGTTGCCTGTAGTCAGAACATCCCCAGCTCCGCTCCCGCACGCCCGCCTGCCTGGCCCGTCGCCGTGTTCTCCCTGCCCGTTGGCTTCCACGGTCCAGTTGCTCAGTAGGAAGGGAGGTGGCTTCGAAAGGGAAGAGATGGAACTACTCCCTCCTCAACGTTTCTTTGCTATTAGGGGCGTCCTCTGTCCTGTGGACTCTGTGACAGCACACCATCCCTTAGGGGACTCTGAAGTAGCACACACGCCAGTTCCGCTGCTTTTCTCTGTTGTAGGATCAGGTGTATTCCTTATCCTTTGCTAGCCACTTAGTGGCACCTCAGCGGGGCCTGTCCTTTTGAAAGGCCTTTTAAAAAAGATGCACGCCCCGTTAAGTTCTCCTTGTGTTTGGCCTTCAGCTCCTTGGACAGAGGTTGTTGAAATGCTCAGTAGCCGTTGATAAATGAGCTACATGGTCATGCATGTCAGTTACAAAAGACAGTGGTGGGCCTTTGAGATGCCCTCTGTTTCTTCCAGGCAGAGGCCGCCCGCCCAGCCGCAGTTTCCCGTCTGCCCGCGTGTTACGCTCACTGCAGTCCCGTCTTTGTGTCAAGAGAGCTGTTAGTCGCTGCCAGCCTGCCGCCGGCGTTGGGGAGAGCCCGTGGCCCCCGGTAGGAGGGCCCTGCCGCCTGGCTGGGCTGAACGTATCCGTTCACCTGGACCCATTGCCCTGTGCCCAGTCAGGTCCACTAAGGCCAGAGGTTCTAGAGTGTTCCATTAAAATTAAAGGGACATAATGGCTTTAAAATCAGGTTAGCGATAGTTTCTGTTTCAGCATTTCAGGCAAATTTAAGGCTTAGGCACTGGGCCAGAGCAGTAGATAAGGTGGCCTTCAAAGTCCCTTCCAGCCCTTAGATTCCAGGATTCGAATGGCGGCAGGAATGGCTGAGATGGCGCTGGGTTTCTAGCAGGAACAGGAATGGGCGCTAGTGGGTGGCCAGACCTGTCTGCATCCAGTAGAAGACAGTCCGCAGGACACAGCCGGTGGTTTCTCACGCGCGCGCATGCACACAGAAGCCTGCTTCTCTCTCAAGGCCTAACACTGAGTCTCAAAAGGGAAGGGTACCCAGATTCTACCTCTTGGAATATCCCTTTTAAGCTGCTGCAAGTTTCAAGCTGAGGGTGGTTTGCTTGTCGGGTTGGTTGATCTCTTTGAGTACATAACACAATTGTGTGGTTCCTTTTTAATTTTTTTTAAAGTATGTGTGTGTAAGAGAGAGGTTTCCCTCCCACTCTGACAGGCTCCACCCAGTCCATGCTGTGTCCACCCCGCCGCCCCCCGCACCTCCCGGTAGCAACTACTGTTGCTGGCTTCTTGTGGAGCCTTACAGAGTTCCTTCTCACCTGGACAAGCAGAAGTGAACTGTGACCTTTCTTCCCCCGCCCCCACCTGCACAAAGGGTAACACACTGTGTGCATGCAGCGTTCTGCACCTGGACTTACCAATTTCTCTTGGAGATGTTTCCTTATTGGTAGGGAGCTTCCTTGTGTTTTTTAAGTGACAGTGTCCCATTGTATGAATGTGCCATTGCATTCATATTTAACTAGTCCCCTGTTGATGTGCATTGGGGTGGTTTCTGATCTTTTGCTATGGCAGACAGTCAAGCTGCAACACTGGAAGGGACTCGGGAGGCCAGTTGTGGTGTTGGCGCCAGAGCAGTAAGGGAGGGGTCCCAGGCTGGGTCCTGGGCACGGGGGCCCCGGGGCTGCGTAGTTCAGGTCTCCCCTGGGTATGTGTGTCGCCTCCAGATGACCTGTGTACTGAATGCTCTGTTTTCTCCGTTTTTTCTTCCAGGGACAATTCAAGCTTTCGAAATACAAAAATCACATTGTGAACGTACACAGCTGGCAATAATCCCTTTCTGTGTGTGTGTGTCCCCAAAATGGATGGAGGTCTCCAGCTGGCCCTTCCATCTGCTCACGGAAGGGACGTCCCTGAGTGGCCGCTCCCTTTTGCACTCGTTCCTGGAGGACGGATTCCGCTAGACACCCTCCAGCGGCGCTGACTTTATAAAGCGGACGAATGGCAAACGTGACTGTGTAATAGACACACTTTTTTTTTATGGGTCTCTGTGGGGGGAGTCTAGCCTTTGGTATCGCTGTGTGCTGGCCGGGTGCCTCCCGGGCCTCCTGCCGTGCGAAGGGTGCATGGCCGCGGACACCAGCCCGAGCTGCTGGCCTCGAGCTCCCAGTGTTAGGAGCGCCTGTGCGTCCAGGAAACGCTTTGTGTTGGAGCGCCCCGGGATAGCTGTAAATGCTCTCTTCTAGCTTTGCCATTAAATTATTGGGACATTTTGTTTATTTCGCTCCCCTCTTCCCCCAAGCCCACCACCCTCTGACAGCATGTTACTGTGTGTGGTCTCCTGCCTTACGCCCTCTGGTCTCCCCTGGGATGGGTCTCCCCTGGGGTGGGACTCTCCTCCTCAGGCACTGCTGCGCTTAGAACTGTAACCCGGAGGGCCACCGCCCTCCCTGCGGCGCCCTAGAGGTGCGACTCTGTAAATTAAAGTGGGGCGCCAGCCTGCTGAGTCCACAGCCAAATCCAGGATGCCCACAGAAGCTTCTGGCAGGCTCCTGCAGGCACGCGTCAGAGAGGCGGGGTGGTCTGCTGCGGAGGGAGTGCAGCCGGAGGTCGAAGAGCGTGCGGGACCAGTCCCACAGCAGCCGCGAAGGAGCACTGTCTTGCCAGGCTCTTGTGAGCAGAGATCGAAGTACCTTAAATTAAGGTCCCTCCTAACCTCTGTCCTTGCAGGCCAGAGGGCCTTAGCCACTGGTCTCAGAGAAGTTGGACGTGAGCAACAGGCGTTTCCTTATTGTACTTATATCGCTCCTCCTACTTTCCATCTCCTGAACGCCCTCAGAGCGCTACTGTCTTGGCGTGCTTTCTCCTAAAAGAACAGAGGATACAGGGGCCAAAGGGAGGTGCTTGCATTACAGATGATGTTAGATCGGAAAAGAAGACCTAGCAGTGATTTAAACTCCAGGAAGACGAAGGATAAATTCTGGTGCCCAGACCGTTGTCAAGGGCGCAGGCACACGCGCAGGAGCAGCGCTGGCTAACGTGGGGAGCGAGGCGGCCTCCCGGGATCTGCCTGCGCCCCTGGGAGGCCTCCCCTTTTGCCTGAACTCCAACTTGCCGTGGCAGTCTCAGAGCGCGCGGGCGCTGGAGTTCGCCCTCCTTTGGGCACCTACCGGGCTGGGGCGTGTGCATAATGCGTGTGTAACGTGTGCACGGTGAGGACTTTGTAATGCCAGAGATTAGGCGTATTGTCCGTGTTCATGTTGCTTTTCCTTTCTTTTCTTTTTTGGCCTCATTTCCAGTTTTTTTACTCTCTTGTATTCCTGGAGCTGCTGTGTTTCCCCTTCCTCTTTGTCATTGCAGTACATGAAAGTGATTTTTCCCACCCACACGAGGCTGACGCAGTGCTGGGTGGGACCAGGGCTACGCCTCTTAGGCAGCATTTCACCCTCAGGGTGCCCCAGGGGCTCTGCCGGCAGCCTTTGGCCGGAGCCTGAAGAGTCCGCGGGTCCAGCCGCCAGCTCTCCAGCCCAGCTCGGCGGACCTTTCCGCCTCCGCCTCCGGAGGCCTCTGCTGGGCCGAGACAGGACGCAGGACGGCCATGGCGTCGCCTGTTCTGGAGACGCGGTAGAGGCGCCCCTGAAGGACAGGCGCGCTGCCGCCCCCTTGCACAGGCCAGCTGCTTTCGCCAGGCCGCCTGCTCGGTTTTCCATCTGACCGGCCCCTCCCCCTCCCCACTGCTTTCCTCGTCTTGTCCTCTTGGTCCATGTGTGTTTGCGCTTTCCCTGTGGCGTTGGCAGTGGGTAATTCTCTGCCCAGAGAGAAGCTTGTGGTCCATGGTGCCCTGGGGATGGGTTTCCAGGCATCCGCCGTGGAGGAGTGGGGGCCGTGACAGGAGGGACCCAGTGTCACACCTTCAGAGCCATTGTCTGCTCAGTAATAAACGGAAAGTATTGCAAGAGCCGGCTGCAGACTCTTCACTCCAGGGGAGACGGGCGTGCGGCGCTTTGTTGTCCCGAGGGCTGCCCTCCAGCGCGGACCTTCGCTGGAAGTGTGTTCCCGATGGCGTGCGGGATGGTCCAGACAGTGCCAGGGTTGTGGGCGTGGACACATTAACAAAATGTCCTCTAATGGGTAGTAACCATTGCCAAAACTCAATTTATATTCAGTACTGAAATGTCATTGTTTAATCTTTTCAGCCTGGGGTAGGGAATACTGGAATGGAAAGCAGCTCCACGAATTCGACTTTGAAGTCAGAAATCACTCCAGGGCCCAGGCGTGGACTGTTGATTTAGATTGGGGGGCTTAGCCCAAAGGTGGAGTGTGGGGCCCCAACGCCCAGTGCCCATGGGAAATGCCCAGGGCAGGTGAAGCTTGCAGAGCCTCAGCTACTATGTAAAATGACGGAAAGCAACTCCGTCTGAGGCTGTTTCAGCAGATGGAAGTTTTCCCTCTGTGTATCACAGTCCAAATAGGAGGCAGAAACCTCGCCAGTTATTTTTATAGTACAATAGGACTGTCGACTTGGTAACTAAAAAAAGGCAAAAAGAAAACACTAAGAAATCAGGGCGGGAGCAGCTCCAGGAGCTGCTGCCCGAGGTGGGACGCCGCCCCTGTGCTGGCGTCTGAGTGCGGAGCGGAGCGGCTCGGAGCTTGGGTGTGGTGGCAGTGGCGCCTTCGCCTGTCGGTCCGCGCTGCCGCTGCAGGGGTGCAGCCAGTCACGGCCGCGCCGATGGGAGCGGGAGCAGGCCCTTTCTCCCCCCAGCGTCGAGGCTTTCCTCAGGGCGCCCTGCTGGAGAAGCCCCCAGCAGGGCAGGCTGTTTGCCGAGTCTGAGGCCCAGTACCCCCACAACAGGTGAGGCTGAGAGGAAAGAGCTTAGTGATTATACAGTTCTCCCCTTTAGCCACTCAGCATCTGGCACACCCTTCTGCGCATCCCTGAGCTTGAATAGTACCCCAAAATCAACCCTGTTTCCGCCCAGGGTAGAATTAATTGTATGTTCTTACCCTCTCCCCAAACCGAGGACGGGCAAAGCCCAGCCACCTGTGGACTTCTGGCCTGCGTGGACACGTCTGGTTCCGGCACGGCCCCATCTGACTAGAAGAGAGAATAATGGAATGACAACTGAAGACAAAAGGGTCAAGTTAACTTCCAAGAAGACATGCCTAAAGTAACGAGGAAAGAAATCGTGTGTGTGTGTGTGTGTGTGTGTGTGTGTCCCCACTACCTCGCTGCATTTCCTGTGCCCTGAGTCAGCTCAGCTGGTCAGGGATCTTTATTTGGCACGGTTGACCCAAACCTTAATTCCAAAAGGTTCTGAGTTGTGCAGACTTTATTCATTAAGTTTCCCATTCACCCTTGCTGTTTGTAAAGGACCCTCTCGTTCCAGCCATGGTCCTCGCACCCGTTCGTGCCCAGGGTTGCCCTCCTGATGCTCTCCAGTCCGTAGAATAACCCTCCTCTTCAGCATCTGCACTGGCTCAGGGCCCTGATGAGCCCAGGCAACCTGGTGCGACTTAACGTGCAATCCCATGGAGCCGCTGCTCTGTACCCTGGGAGAAGCCACCCTCTTTCACCAACCAGGCCCTGTACTCGGCCGGCAAGGCCCCGGCCTGCCCGGTCCCCGGACTCTGCTTATGGAGGGAGACATGCGCACAGCAGCCCTGCAGCCTTGAAGACAGAGCCCAGCCTTGCAGGTGGCCATCGCCCGCGGACATTCCGCCCTGCTCGTGCAGCTGCTCTGGGCGGCCGCGGTGGTGTCGCGTCATCCCGAGCCCGTTGCCTCGCCCCGTTGGCCGGGAAATGGGTTTCTTGATTAAAAGTAATAAGTGGAACACCATGCTGGTGAATTCGGCATTCCCTCAGCCCGCACTGCTCCCTCTGGGGAAAGCCTTATGGGAGGGGATGCCAGGCCGCCTCCTGGACACGGGTCTGCTTTGCATGATTTACCGAAGGGCAGGGCAGCCAATCCAGCCTTTTCTTTGCTCTCTGTCCCTGGTCTCCTGGATGGTCCACGGTTTCGTGTTTTTCTTCTCCTCGTGTCTCTGCCTGCCACAGTCCATCAGGAATGTGAATGGACAGGGAAGCGTCCATCGGCCTTGGGCCCAGAAGGCAGGTGGAGCCCTCAGCTGTCCCTGGACCCGCAGGCCGCCCTCCTGTGGCCACCGGGAGACTGCTGACGATGCCCACGCGCCAGAGGCTGCCCCCAGGCCTCCCCAGGGTGGCTCCTGGAAGGGGCTGAGCGTCCCACCAAGGCCGCGGGGGCCAGTCTGGCCCTGGCCAGCACGGGGCCCCTGGGAGCCTGCCCCCGCCAGCGCTCTGCTCCTCGGGTCCGTTCTCCCCGCCCTCCGGCTTGCCGCGCCCGCCGCGCCCTGGTCTTCAGGGCTCCAGGCTGCCCTGCCGTCCCCGATGCAGCCAAATGCTCGCCCTGCTCTTCCCCGCCTGCCGTCTCCTGTCAGCTCCCACTTTCCCTCCTGTCCTCCAAGGCTCTTCTTCCCAGAAGGTGGGGGGCGGGGGGCTCGTCCCTCCTACTGATAAAATGACCCAGGTCCAAGGCAGAGAGACCCTGCCTCCCCTCAGCGCAGTGAGTGCGCCCTGGGGGGCCACAAGGGTGGGGGACCGCGGTTTTCGCTGGGTTCCTGGCCTACACAGTTCCCTCAAGCCTCGGGATTTCTTGAGCTGCATGAGCACGGGGAGCATCTCTTGCTCTTCGTTCCTGAGATCACCTTAGAACCAAAGGGTGAAATGGGTGTGTTGTTACTGATGACAAGCTCCTTTCTACTGCAGCTGGGTTTATGTCAAGTGACTTCTGTTTTTTGTTTTTTAACTTTGTATTTATTTTTTTAGAGAGACAGGAAGGGAGGGTGAAGGAGAGGGAGAGAAACATCCATTGGTTTGCCCCACCTGCTGAGCCTTGGGGTCAGGCGAGCAGGGGACTTGGGAAGCACTTGGGGTGGCGCCGGTTGCTCGGGCAGCCGGCCTGGCACAGAGGGGTGCATCTCCCAGCCCTGCCCCCTGACCTCCGGGGTCGGGGGCTGGACGGTGAATCAGCCCTGCCCTGTAACATGATGCGGCCTCCATAAACCCAAAGGGAGAGGTGGGGAGAGCTTCATGTTGCCACTGTGCCCAGCCCCAGACCCCACAAGGAGGGAAGCTCCTTTGTTTGAAGCCTCACCCAGTGTGTCTCTTCATCTGGCTGTGAGCTGCTCTAGCAAATAGATGGAACCCAAGGAGGGGGTTGATCAGAAGTACAGGTAACAGCCTGGCCTTGGGATCGGCATCCTGAGTGGGAGGGGCCATGGGAACCTCCCACCCGTAGCCACCCAGTCAGAAGTGCAGGTGACAACCCACCGGTAGCCACCCAGTCAGAAGTGCAGGTGACAAGTTGCACATGGGATTGGTGTGTGAGCAGAGGAAAGTCGTCTAGGCTGCACCCTTACACCGGGGACCCGACGCTGTCCCCAGGCAGACGGCCAGAGCTGCGCTGGGCTGCAGATGCCCGGCTGGCGTCACAGCGCTGCTGGGTGGCGGGGGACCCTGCACACGCTGGAACTGGGAGCCAAATACAAATACCCACCGGAACGCAAATCACATGAAACTTTCTGATTTCTGCTAATTCTGATAGGTAGAATATCTCTCAAGTCATAGGCATGAGACTGAGTTTCCTATATTTAAGAACAACATGTATTTGCTCCTGTTATCAAATCCTGACCGTTTGATGGTGTTTTGCTTATTGGTTTCTAGAAGAACTTTCTATATGAAGGAGACTGCCACCTGGTTTGTAGATTGGGCTTGACGAGGTCAGGAACCAGCACAGGCCGCGAGGAGCGCAGGGTCGTCGTCCATGTGACACACAGGACTCTGTTGTGCTAGTGGCCAAGGATGGGCAAGAGCTTGGGGCGGGGTGTATCTTTCCAAGAAGATGCTGTGTGCAGGCAAGCGGGGCTCTAAGGTGGGCGTCCGTACCACTTACTGTGGGGTCTCAGGGCGTTAGAAGCCCGGGTGCCGTGGGGGTGGTGGGCGCATCGGGCCCCTCCTCGCAGGGGATTCCACACCCAGAGCCTTGCTGCCGTGCATCTGAACGGATCCGTCTGTCTTCTGTACGGCTTCTGGAGGGCAAGTTGTGTTTGCAAAGCCTGCCCTGGGTCTATTCAAGGCACAGATAGCGAGGCCGACGGGGAGGACTGACGGCAGAGCAGGGGCGGGGTGGGGAGGCTGTGGGCCCACGGGGCCCCTCGGTGACGGACGGAAAGGCTGCAGGCACCTGACTCCAGGAGAGCGACTCCAAGGGACGCAGAGACTGGAGGGCGAGCGTGAGACTGGCGGCTCAGAGGGAGGAGCAGGGAGGCTGAGAAACCACGAGGGAGAGGAGGGGGGCGCGGGCCATGTCGTCCTGGTGATGACCCGACGGCTTCTTCCCCAGCACATCTCAGCCCACTCCCCCCACCCCCACCCTCGCCAGTGCATTGTCTGGGCCCGGACACGTGAGTCTAACGAATCGCTATCCTGACCTAAGTCCCTGTTCATTTCCTTTACACAACACGGCCGGGGGAGGGGGCAGGCATGGTTTATCCAAGAGGACCAAGGGCACCGAGAGGCCCTGTGGGTTCATCC